CACGACGATGAAGATTTTGATTGGTCAGAACGAATTTACGGTTGCAGTCTTAGCGGATGTAGTTCAACAGTCAACACTTTTTGGAGAAAATATGTTTGATTTTCCAAAGTGTAAAATAAAAGTAAAGATATCAACTGATAAACGGTGACCCTCAAAAGCTCTTGATTTAGATGAAATGGGGCAAAAATAAAATATAAGAACTTTATTGAAAAGACACCAAGCAACATTTTGAATGAATGAATGAATGAATGAATATAACAACTAAGGAAAAATACAGACAAATTCCACATTAATACAAACAGAATTGGCTTCACATATAAGAACTGTTGTCTGTTTTGGCAGTCTGGTGTTGGTTTTACGTCATTTCACATTCTTTACAAAACAAAGATAAGATGGTGTTTTATTAACAAATTACAATTATAAAGAAAACATTTAGGTGTTAACAAACACATTGTTTTAACAAAACCTCTTATCTGCAGTGATGCGGGCATTGTACCGGTCTGTCGTGGTGAAGAGAGAGCTGAGTCAGAAGGTGAAGCTCTCGATTTACCGGTCGATCTACGTTCCTACCCTCACCTATGGTCATGAGCTTTGGGTAGTGACCAAAAGAACGAGATCGTGGATACAAGTGGCTGAAATTAGCTTTCTCCGAAGAGTGGCTGGGCTCTCCCTTAGAGACAGGGTGAGAAGCTCGGCCATTCGGGAGGGGCTCGGAGTAGACCCGCTGCTCCTACACATTGAGAGGAGCCAGTTGAGGTGGCTCGGGCATCTGGTCAGGATGCCTCCTGGACACCTCCCTGGTGAGGTTTTCCGGGCACGTCCAACCGGGAGGAGACCTAAAGGTAGACCCAGGACACGGTGGAGGGACTGTCTCTCACCTGGTCAGGGGACGCCTTGGGATTCCCCCGGAGGAGCTGGCCCAAGTGGCTGGGGAGAGGGAAGTCTGGACCTCTCGCCTTAGGCTACTGCCCCCAGCGACCCGACTCCAGATGAGCGGATGAAAATGGATGGGTGGATGGATGGATGGATGGAAAACCGCTGATGTCTTTCCAAAACTTATGTGTGAAAGCTGAGTGGATTTGCCGTAATGTGACGTCATCAGCAGGCGCAGGACCCCGAGCTGATCTGGCAGCCTGAGCAGATCTGGTACACACACGGTGGGTGTTTCTCAATGTCAAGGCGCCTGGCCTTCCAAGGCGATGTCTTGCGAGGTCAGTGGCCTTGGTTACGTGGACACTGTCCTTCCTTGGTCAAAGAAAATGGTTAAATGCAACAGACTTGCATCACGTGATCGCGGCTTCCACGGTGGTCACATAACGTCATGTGACACGGGAGACAATGTTATATTTTATACGTATTAGTTTCAATATAAATATATAACGAGCCTTCAACATTTTAAGTTGTGTATATGTTTATTTAATAAATATATAAGTGAGTTACTACCCGCTAGCCACCAAAGCTGCAACTAATAAGCAACTAGCCAACAATAGAAAACTTCTTTGGATCTAAAAAAAAAAAAACATTTTAAATGAGTTGACTTACTTTTAAATTAGAAAATTGCCCTCGAAGTAGCTGCCGGCTTCTGATCCGCCGTCCTTTTGAAAATACCACTGTGTATTTTGGGTAATTTTTGACAAAGGCCAGGCTACAAGACACCTCCCATGTATCCTCGCTCAGCTAGCTAAACGGCTAACAAACGGAGAACACACGCCTTGGTAGAACAAGAACAATGGAAAACGTCTTGGCGGCTCCCGATCACGTGTCTCCTAGGCAGACCCAAGACATCAAGGCAAGGTTCCTTGGCATTGAGAAACACCCCGGGGTTGTTTTAAGAAGAAGCCCTGCTAGCTGTTCGCATTAAAGCAGAAATGTGGAGGTTTAGTCCAATGGCACCATCTAGAGGCTGAAAATGTACTGCACCATAAGCCGTAAGTTGAAAGCAAACCCTCTCGTTTGTGAAAGTGCTCCTCTAGCCATCCAACAAAGCTAAAACACATTGTTTTACAATAGTTATTCTCAGTGTTGGGAGCAATGGCATATAAGTATAACGTTGTTGCTACAAATTTATTTTTTAGGGAATGGAGTGATCTTATTACTCTAGTAATCTAGTACTTTTCCCATTTTTGCAACGCTGTTACCATTACTGGGCATGTAAAGGGGTGTGTTACTACAATGTGGCTGAATGAAGCGCAGCTTTGTCAGACTTTCCGACAGCCCCGAGTGTTGGGAATAAAAACGCTCTGTACCCAAACCCCCATCCTGCCCCAAGCCGCTAACAAACGACAGGAATGTACATACACACACAGCGGGTCTCCGATTGTCGTATGTGTCGGTATATTTATTTTTTTCAAGATTCTAGTTTTTATTGCCCTGTATCGTTTGCCAGATGGAAGACTTCAGAAGAGATGGTTAGCAGGGTGGGTTGAGTCCTTTAGGATCATTGTGGTTTTTCAAAGGCAGCGAGTGGTGAAGATGCCATCCAGGGCATGCAGGTGTGTGTGTTTTTTTTCTCTCTGCAGTTTTGATTACTCTCTACAGGGTTTTCCTGTCAGCTGCAGAGCTGCTGCTGCTGTACCACGACAGGATGCTGTTGGTCAGGACACTCTCTATGGAGCAGTGATACAGCGACACCAACAGTTTTTGTGGCAGGTTAATCTTCCCGAGAGCCCTCAGGAAGTATAGCCATTGAAGTGCCTTCTTTATCAAACAATTGGTGTTGTGTGTCCATGAGAGGTCCTCTGATATGTTTTAAAGACTTACTTTTCCATGAGAAAGGTCGCCAACTCTGCGTCTGTTAGGATACGTCCGAAAACATGCGCGTATGCTCTGCGATTGACATCTGTATGTAAGCAGAGGTCTAACGCTATTGGCTAATACTGAACGCCTACGGGATAGCAGACAGGCTTAGAAAAACAAAACTGACATATAGGGAGCTTAAAGGTTGGTTTATGCTTGACGCGTCCGCAAGGTCCACACGGCTCCGCACGGAAAAGTTGCGTCATTTTAACAACAACGCCCCTCCACCGCGCCTCCGCACGGCCCAAAGTCTCAACAACGCACACCTAGGAAATGTTCTAACCACGCGGACGGTCGGACGAGGAAAAACATGGCGGACCGGCAAGAACTAGTACGGCAGAGGTTCGTAAATACAGACATTTGTATGATTCAGCTCTCAGAGATCACCGTGATCAACATGTTGTTAAGAATTCTTGGAGAGAAATAGCTCGCACTGTCGGAAAAGACGAGGACGCTGTTAAAAATGCTGGAATGCCATGTTGTAAACAGTCATTTCTACTTCTACTATGGTGTAGTGTTGGATGCATGCCGTAGAGCTCCATGCTGCCCCCTACAGTTTGGGAGAATATTGGCTCACCGCAGAGACAAGCCGCATGAACCATAAACGCTGCGAGTTGTGAAGCGCGTTCCAGCCGCGAGCCGCATCACCAAGCGGAAAGTGAATGCGTCAAGCATAAACCAAGCTTTAGTCACTTCTGCACCACGGGTCCCCAGAAGAACGGAAAAATGAATGCAAGTCAACGGGGCTAAAAACACTATTTTCTAATCCGCTTGTTTTGTGCCATGGATTTCACATATGATGTCCGTGAATTTTAAAGATGCATTTTGATACAGAGAACACGCTTATTTTTCGAACGGGGGAAAACGCTATTTTAGGTTTTGAGTGAAAATAAGTCCAGGACTACAAATGCGCTTCATGAAAGTGATGTCATCAAACCAGACACAGAGACAACTGAGGGAAAAGGGCTGTAAGTTCAGCGAACTTCCCACAGGAGGAAAGAACCACCATAAATCTGGTCATGTGGTAAGTAGCAGCTACGCTAGGGGAGAGGAGATTATGTGGTGGTGTCACATATGCAACATGCTGATTTCTGGTGTCATGCCAATTACGAACTTTTACAAGCTAATAAATGTCAAAGTACGTGACTGGCGTGGTCAAAACACCCATCATTAGTTTTCATTTAAATTGCAGTACAACATATGTGTGATCCAGGGCGTAAGGCAAAGTGGATCAGAAAATAACATTTTTAGCCCCGTTGACTTGCATTTATTTTTTCGTTCTTCTGGGGACCCATGGTCCGGAAGTGATTTAGGTTCCCTATATCCTACATTACATCACACTGGGTCATCAATTGCGCAGATTTCTAAAAACAAAATCCTACATAATCCCTGAAAGGGGGAAATTCCAGATTGCTGTTTTAATCTGTAATTGTCCAAATTGAGCCACCTCCAGCTGCCAAGATATTGATTGTACCTTTTCAGTAGAGCCCCACTCCGAATGGCGTCTTTAACCTTGAGAATCTATTTGAAAGAAAGCCTGTGTTGTAGTTGTTATTTTTGCTCAGCCTGCGCTCTGTCTGGGTCCATCAGCAGGAAGGTGAGAACACAGCTGGTAGCCCAAAAGGGCCTCCGGTGAGTTTTGTGTTAGCCCAGCTGATCCGGAAACTAGTGTAGCAGAATTTGCTGCTTATCTGCATTGTCCTCATCATCTGAGTCCCCCCCCTACACACACACCCACACACTCCCCTTCCTCCTGTAGCCCATGGCCCCCCCGCCTATCTACAGCATCAGATACAGATCATCACCACTGACATCTCTCTCAAACTCACACAGCGATCCGCTGGCTCTCAGTGCTTTTGGCAGCACGTGTTACCGAGGAGGAAACCTGTTTAATCATAGCGTTTTCACTTTGTTAGACGTAACTGAGCAAATGAAAACTGATCCCTGTTTGATCCCCTCTCCCCTTCTCCCTGTCATCCTGCTTCTTCACTCAATCCTGGAAATTCCTGTTTATCTGTCTCCGTTGTTATTTCTGCTCATTTCTCTGGATTTCCTCCTCCTCATCTGCATGTCTGATGTGAAATCAACTCTGTCCCGCACCCTTCAACGCACGCCGATGGTTCTGTCCGTCCTGTCCACTCTCTTACGCTCTCTCGCTCCCTCTTCCCCCCCATTCCTCCCTCCCCCCCGTTTCTCTTCCTCAGCATGGACGTTCAGAATTTTCATGGGAAGGAATCAACGTAAGTGTTGTGGCATCATTCCTCCATGCTTTCCCTCTCCTTATCTATTTTTTTTACCTGTTACCGTAGCGACCAGCTCCCACTTCCTCGTAGCCCGCCCCTACACCTCCCCAGCTTTACAGTAGAATCCTACGCTCTATCGTAGTCGTGAGCACAATCAGATTTATTTTGAAGCACTTGGGTGTCAAGATTTGGATAATACAGATTGTGTCCTTTGTATTAACCCAACATCTCCATCACTTCTCCTCTCCACTCACACCTCTCGTTAACACACACTGTTTCAATGTCTTGTGTCTACACTGTCCTTTTCTTCATGCTCCCCACCTTCCTCCTCCATCCCTCTCTCTTCTCTCCCTCCAGCTGTCAATGGAAGACACCACATCGATCCTGCCACGGCTCAAGAGGAACTCAAACGCCTATGGCATCGGGGCTTTGGCTAAGTCTTCTCTGTCAGGTGTGTCAGGTGTGTGTCTGTGCTGGTTCTGGTAAACGACCCCATGCTGGCTCCGTCCTCTGCGGACTCTGGAGTCAGCATGGTACCCTAAAAGGGTTCCCCTGCTTCACTTCCTCTCCACACTGACACATCAGATGCCAATGACTCCTTAAGAGGCATTGGCGGGACATATTCAACCTGAAACACACACACACACACACACACACACACACTATGAAACAGCTTTTTCATCTAAAGGCGGGTGAGTATTTTTTATGTGAAATAGTTGACAAGTTGTTCTAATAAAGTTTTAGTATGAACATTTGTGTTAGCAGCGTGGTGCGTTGCGTGATGTCATCGAGGAGAGGAGGAGGGTATTTTGAAATAGGGAGCCGAAAGCCTGATTCACGTCTCTGCGTCTGCGTCAGTGCGGAGACACGCAACGCCATTATCCGTCCTTGCGGGCCTGCTGGAGAGCTCCGCAAGGACGGACAGAGTCGAGCTCTCTTTTCTAAACATCCGTCCGTCGAGACGGACAACGCAAGCTTGTGATTGGTCAGGGAGCCACTGTCGTCTACACCGCCGCCATTGCGCCCTCAAAAACGTAAAGAGAGCCGAGGATAAGTCGCGGCAGACACGGAGCAGCTTGAAGAACACCTCGCGAAAAAAACTCTAAAAATATGAACGTTTAATTCCCCCGTGACTGGAGGAGTGAAAAGATGTGCAGCAAGCGTTTTATTTGTGGACGGAAATGACAGGAAACGTGGGCTTAGAGGTGGTGAGAACATGAAGAGGTGGAGGAGGATGAGAGACAAATTTGTCTGTTAAAAGGTCCCTTATATACAAAAAAACCCACAATATAAACACACTATCTTGGACCGATGCATGACAGGATACCACAGAACAGCGCTACGCCCTCTGGTGTCCTGGCGGGGAATTGCTTTGCAACACTCCCCAGGAGACGAAGAAGTACGAGGGCAAAATGTCTCCATCAATCCGTGCGTCTGTGTCTCTCCCTGTTGGAGCTGATGGAGAAGCATGACTCTTTTTACATCTGAATGATGCTGAGACTGAAGTAATTGTGCTTAGCCCTGGCATGTCTCCACGCCCATGCGATGCTGTGAATCTGGGCCCTTTAGCATCCAACATGAAGACTACCATCCAAAATTTGGGAGTGCAACTGGACTCAGCCCTTAAATTCGACGCGCAAATCAACCAGGTTGTGCGATCGTGTTTTTTTAACTTACGCCGACTAGCCAGAATTAAGCCCCTGCTGTCCAGAGTACATTTAGAGACTGTCACACACGCTTTTGTTCTTTCAAGGCTCGACTACAGCAATGCACTGTATGCCGGCCTTAGTCAGGGTGCGGTAGCACGCTTGCAGTTCGTACAAAACTCAGCTGCTAGGTTCGTGACAGGCACAAGGAGCAGGGAACATATCACCCCTGTGTTGGCATCCCATTGGCTGCCTGTGCAATACAGGGCAAAATTCAAGGTCTTGGTACTGGCTTACAAGGCCTTACAAGGAACTGCTCCAGCATATCTTGGCAACCTGTTGCATAGGCATGCCCCCTCGCGGGCCCTTCGCTCAGCCGGCAGGGAGCTGTTGATCGTTCCACGCACTAAGTGCAGGTCATGGGAGGACCGTGCATTCTCGGTGTTGGCACCTGCACTTTGGAACCAGTTGCCTTTGGTGGTGCGTCAGTCACCCTCATTGGGGGTTTTTAAGACTCGCCTCAAGACCCATTTTTTTGTCAAGGCATTTCAGGATTAGCAAATTTTACCTGGTTTCGATGCCCTGGCCTCCTAATCTTTTTCAGGATTTTATTTTTTGCTTTTATTCTCCTCTTTTAAAGTTAAAGTTCAATTAGTTGTCACACACACACACAGATGTGTGTGCGAAATTTGTTCTCCGCATTTGACCCATCCCCTGGGGGAGCGGTGAGCTGCAGACACAGCCGCGCTCGGGAACTATTTGGTGGTTTAACACCCCAATCCAACCCCTTAATGCTGAGTGTCAAGCAGGGAGGCGTTGGGTCCCATTTTTTCAAAGTCTTTGGTATGACCCGACCAGGAATCGAACCCCTGATCTCCCAGTCTCAGGGCGGACACTCTACCACTAGGCCACTAAGAAAGGTTTTAATTGATTTCATGTTGGTTTTACGATTGTTATATTTTATTTTGATGGTTTTTTGTTTTTATTGTGTTGTGTTCAGCACCTTGGGCGTCTGCATTGGTCGCAGAAGGGGCTTTATAAATGAAATGAAATGAAAATCAGGCTTAAATCCCGCCCATCTACATCAAGACCCTGTAAGAAGGAAAAAATGAATGCAAGTCAATGGGGCAAAATTTTTTTTTCTCATCCTGTTTGGTATCGATGTCCACAAATTTTAGACACAAGTCACAAAGTGCTTACTTTCGAACGGCGACAAAAGTTATTTCAGGTTTTGTGTGAAAATACGTCCAGGACTATAAATGCGCATCACGGAGAAAGCAGTCATTTCCGTGACCTTCGAATCCTTCCTGCAGGAGTTGTGGTGATTTGTCCAAAGGATTTATTCACAAATCTCATACCTGTACATGCGTGAGTGTCAGAGAGGGTCAGACAGCGAGTTTGTGTCGCCGCTGTTTGGTCACATGAGCGAAGCAGGTCTGCGCTGGCGTTTGGGGCGGCGGCGGTGGGAAATTAATTTCGTCTTTGACAGAAAGAACGTGTGTGTTCAGCAACGTCGAGGTGAGTTCTCAGACAAACAGCGAAGAGAAAGAGAGACGTTTTCTGCTTACCCGGCGCAGCACAGCAGAGGTGTGAAAAAGCTGTCATGTCAACAAGCCAATCTCTCATCAGTCACGCCACGCAGCCGCCTCACCCCAATTAACCCTGTTCCATCCCATGATGCACCTGTGTCAGAAAAGACACATCCAATGCCTCCTCTCTTCCATGTAATGTGGGCAGGTGATGTCTCATTAAACACAAATGTGGCCTCGTCATTTAGTTATTTTGATAATCCACGATCATGACCTTCATCATCGATAAACACACATTAATAAGCAGTAGGATTTGACTGATGATTTTGCGTATTGTCTTGGCTCGATTATTCACATTATTTTAATAACATTTGGGACAAATAAAAGTTTTCAATCCTTGGATGATGCTTAAATAATCACTGGCAGCAGTCAGATTTTTATTAATCCCAGTTTATCAGTCTAATCCTGCGTCATATCAATATTTTCATGAGCCATCATTAGATTCCACAATTCACCAAAAAAAAAAAAACCTCACAATAATAACTTCTGTCTTCCCCTTTCCTTTTGTTTTTGAATTATCCATCTCCCATTCCTTTGTTATCTTTTCCCTTCGTTTGAACACCTCAAACGTTCCCAAATTCTGCTCCTATTTCCTTTTGACCATCCTCCTTCCCTGTGCTTCCTCCCGTGTGCCACGTTTTGACCTTGTAATCAGGTGTCACCCGCACCATGAAGGAAAGAGTGACCAAACCCACGGCCATGGCGCAGGGTCGGGTTGCTCACATGATCGAGTGGCAAAACTGGGGGATGCAGACGGTCGGCTCAGGAGGCGGCCTGCAGTCCCGCATCAGCACCCAGGAGCGTGAAAAAGAGAGACGGCTGGAGAACGACGCCTACAGCGACCTCAGCGATGGAGAGAAGGAGGCTCGTTTTGCTGCAGGTTTGGAAACTTGAAAAATTTGCTGTCATCAGCATTTAAAAATGTCATCACTTTTTGGGATAATTGTCAAATATTCAATAATTTAAACTCAAAGCAGGTCTGAGCTCTGGGGGGGGATTTGTTCTTTACAGGTGTCCTGCAGCAGTTTGCAATCTCAGAAGCAACACTCTTGGCATGGTCATCGATGGACGGGGAGAGTCCGCGGTCGGGTTCAAACCAGGGCAGCGTTGCTCACCTGAGCGAGGTCAACCAGGAGAGCATCACCAGTCGAGGTAGATACAACAAAAAACAGATGGTGATTACAAGGAGGCAAAGAGAAAAAGCCTCTAGACCAGGGGTGTCAAACTCACACGGGGCCGAAATGAAACTCTGGGACGGAGTCGAGGGCCAAACTTAATATTTTTTGAGAAAGTGACGGCAAATTTGCACATTTTCTTTATCAACATATATGTAATTTTGAACCTTTAAATTTGGAAACAAACTTATTTCTCCATTAACACTGAATGTGGAATAACCAAATTACACACGAGCATGTCAGTTTTAAATAAAAGACATCAGTGGTATTCATTACTTGTGGTATAATCAGCATTTTTAAAATCTTTTAAATCTTTAAATCTTTTAAATCTTTTCTGACGGGCCAACAACAAAATAAAAATATCATTTTATCTTAAATGAAAATGCAATATCTCACCTGTTAACTTTCATGTTTTGGAGCAGAAAAAGAGCATAAAACCTAAATATTTAAAGCTCAGTTTGCTCCACTGGTTTACTGTGATGCTCACCTGTTCCAGCCAGATACCTGCATCATGGGGTTGATCTGAGCTGAGGAGGAGACTCCTGTTGTTTTGTTCATCTTCATCATAATAATGACAACATTAGATGACAACAGGTGCTCACATAGGTTTGTGCTGATGAACATGTCTGAGCAGCTTGACCAGGTTGTTGTGTGTCGGGGAGGAAACACAACGACAGCAGCCACAGAGCCGTGCTGGTTTGAGCGTGTCGCTGTTCGCTGGAGTTATATCAGCTCTGTCTGGACGATAGTTGGAAAACTTTCTCTTTCAGTCGTGAACACATTACTGAGCGGCTAGAATCTCCGTTTCTGGACTTCAACGTCAGAAAATAGCTGAGTGAACTCGGCGCTGAGTGAGAGGAGTGTTTAGCCTGTCCGAGACAGCGGAGCTGCAGACACCTAGCCTAGTGAACCAGACCAAATTCTTGCTTTGCAAAGTGTGGTCTAGGCACGCTCCATTGGAACCTCCGCAGCTCCTACCAGGACTCTGGCTAGCCAATCACAGCTCTCTAGAGGAGTTTCAAACACATAACGAGCTGTGATTAGTCAATAATGGTGGGCCAATCATAGTGCTCTATCTGCTTAGTGAAAAAATCACACAGCTTTATCTGCTTTGTGGGCCAATCAGGGCACTCTATATGCCTGGTGGGTGGGATGATGCAACAGAGTGAAACAAGAGTATGTCACATTCATTGTCCAGTGGACAGCGGAGATCATTTGAAAGACAACGGTAGACCCGCCCCACAACCGAGAGCCGTCAACGGAGCGTGGCCAGACTAAATAAAACATTTATTTAGTCTGGCTTGCCAGGCTAGCAGACACCGGCAGCAGGCGCTGGAAAAAACACAAAGGAGGGGGCACGTCGGCTCCGCGCTGACGCCGCAAAGCATCATGGGAGTTGAAGTCTTTGCGGTAAAATCGGCCAGCGGGCCAGTTTTAATATATTTGATATTTATCTCGCGGGCCACATAAAAATGCTCCGCGGGCCGCATCTGGCCCGCTGGCCTTGAGTCTGACATATGCGCTCTAGATATAAAACACATCTTCATGTTTGCAGCTTGAGTTATGCGGCTGCAGGCTGGTGGGTAAGTTCAGCTCAGGGGTCAGAGGTTTTTACTCAGACTGTGCTGCCATGCGGGTCTCTGCTGCCTCTAAAAAACAATGCAAATCTGAAAAAATGCATCTATTAATTTTACGTCAATGTCTGGTTTTAGGATTACGTGCCTAAAACAAGCCATTTCAAAAAGTCCCCATTTGTGATGTCACAAACAGAAAAATTTGTATAAAACCACTTATGCGCAAAGAGAGCTGATGCTTGAGTAGCAATGACTCTACTTCAAGCTCCTCCCAAGTATTACAATCTTCTCAGGTTGTAGCTGCCTTAGCAGGGGAAAGGTGGGCATGGCCAGCTCCATCTTCGTCTTCGTCGTCTTCGTCTTCGTCTTCCTCCGCTTATCCGGGTCCGGGTCCGGGTCGCGGGGGCAGCATCCCAACTAGGGAGCTCCAGGCCGTCCTCTCCCCGGCCTTGTCCACCAGCTCCTCCGGCAGGACCCCAAGGCGTTCCCGGACCAGATTGGAGATGTAACCTCTCCAACGTGTCCTGGGTCGACCCGGGGGCCTTCTGCCGGCAGGACATGCCCGAAACACCTCCCCGGGGAGGCGTCCAGGAGGCATCCTGACCAGATGCCCAAACCACCTCAACTGGCTCCTTTCGATCCGGAGGAGCAGCGGTTCTACTCCGAGTCCCTCCCGAATGTCCGAGCTCCTCACCCTATCTCTAAGGCTGAGCCCGGCCACCCTACGGATGAAACTCATTTCAGCCGCTTGTATCCGCGATCTCGTTCTTTCGGTCATTACCCAAAGCTCATGACCATAGGTGAGGATTGGGACGTAGATCGACCGGTAAATCGAGAGCCTGGCTTTCTGGCTCAGCTCCCTCTTCCCCACGACAGATCGGCTCAGCGTCCGCATCACTGCAGACGCCGAACCAATCCGCCTGTCGATCTCCCGATCCCTCCTACCCTCACTCGTGAACAAGACCCCGAGATACTTAAACTCCTCCACTTGAGGTAGGACCTCTCCCCCGACCCGGAGGTGGCAAGCCACCCTTTTCCGGTCGAGAACCATGGTCTCAGATTTGGAGGTGCTGATCCTCATCCCAGCCGCTTCACATTCGGCCGTGAACCTACCCAGCAAGAGCTGAAGGTCATAGCTGGATGAAGCTAGGAGGACCACATCATCCGCAAAAAGCAGAGACGAGATTCTCCTGCCACCAAACTCGACACACTCCACACCACGGCTGCGTCTAGAAATTCTGTCCATAAAAGTGATGAACAGAACCGGTGACAAAGGGCAGCCCTGGCGGAGTCCAACCCTCACTGGGAACAGGTCCAACTTACTACCGGCTATGCGGACCAAACTCACGCTCCTCTGGTAAAGGGACTGAATGGCCCTTAACAGAAAGCCACCCACCCCATACTCCTGGAGCGTCCCCCACAGGGTGCCCCTGGGGACACGGTCATAAGCCTTCTCCAAATCCACAAAGCACATGTGGATTGGTTGGGCAAACTCCCATGCCCCCTCCATCACCCTTGCAAGGGTATAGAGCTGGTCCACAGTTCCACGGCCAGGACGAAAACCACATTGCTCCTCCTCTATCTGAGATTCAACTATCGATCGGACTCTCCTCTCCAGTACCTTGGAGTAGACCTTTCCAGGGAGGCTGAGGAGTGTGATCCCCCTATAGTTGGAACACACCCTCAGGTCACCCTTCTTAAAGATGGGGACCACCACCCCGGTCTGCCACTCCCTAGGAACTGCCCCCGATGACCACGCAATGTTGTAGAGACGTGTCAACCATGACAGCCCTACAACATCCATAGCCTTGAGATACCCAGGACGAACCCCATCCGCCCCCGGGGCTCCGCCGCTGTGTAGTTGTTTGACTACCTCAGCAACTTCTGCCCCCGAGATCGGACAGTCCATCCCCAGGCCTCCCAGCTCTGGTTCCTCCTCGGAATGCGCATTGGTGGGATTGAGGAGCTCCTCAAAGTATTCCTTCCACCATCCAACTATAGCCTCAGTTGACATCAGCAGCTCCCCATCCCCACTGTAAACAGTGTGAGCGAGTTGCTGCCTTCCTCTCCTGAGGCGCCGGACAGTTTGCCAGAACCTCTTTGGAGCCGATCGATAGTCTTTCTCCATGGCCTCATCAAACTCCTCCCACGCCCGAGATTTTGCCTCGGCAACTGCCACTGCTGCACCCCGCTTGGCTATCCGGTACCTGTCTGCTGCCTCCGGAGACCCACAGACCAGCCACGCCCTGTAGGCCTCCTTCTTCAGCCTGACGGCTCCCCGAACCTCTGGTGTCCACCAGCGGGCACGGGGGTTGCCACCACGACTGTCACCGGCCACCTTGCGACCACAGCTAGCAACAGCCGCCTCGACAATCGCAGAGTGGAACAAGGCCCACTCGGACTCAATGTCCCCCACTGCTCTCGGGACGTGGTCAAAGCTCTGCCGGAGGTGGGAGTTGAAGACCGTCTTGACAGTTTCTTCTGCCAGGCGTTCCCAGCAGACCCTCACTATGCGTTTGGGTCTGCCAGGTCTACGCGGCATGTTCCCTTGCCATCTGATCCAACTCACCACCAGGTGGTGATCAGTTGACAGCTCCGCCCCTCTCTTCACTCGGGTGTCCAAAACATACGGCCGCAGGTCAGATGATACGACTACAAAATCTATCATCGACCTGTGACCTAGGCTGCCCTGGTACCAAGTGTACCGGTGGGCATCCTTATGTTCGAACATGGTGTTCGTTATGGCCAAACTGCGGCTTGCACAGAAGTCCAATAACAAAACACCGCTCGAGTTCTGATTAGGTGGGCCGTTCCTCCCAATCACACCCCTCCAGGTCAAGCTGTCATTGCCCACGTGAGCATTGAAGTCCCCCAGCAGGACAATGGAGTCCCCTGATGGAGCACTATCTAGCACTCGTCCCAGGGACTCCAAAAAGGGTGGGTACTCTGAACTGATATTTGGCCCATAAGCACAAACAACAGTCAGGACCCGTTCCCCGACCCGAAGGCGCAAGGAAGCTACCCTCTTGTCCCCCGGGGTAAACCCCAACACACAGGCAGAGAGTCTCGGGGCTAACAAAAAGCCAACCCCAGCCCTCCGCCTCTCACCCGGAGCAACTCCAGCAACGTAGAGTGTCCAACCCCTCTCCAGGTCTCGGGTTCCAGAGCCAATGCAATGTGTCGAGGTGAGTCCGACTATATCTAGCCGGTACCGCTCAACCTCTGCCACAAGCTCCGGCTCCTTCCCCGCCAGCGAGGTGACGTTCCATGTCCCAAAAACTAGTTTTCTTGTCCGGGGATTGGACCGCCAAGGCTCCCGCCTTGGTCTGCCACCCGATTCGCATTGCACCGGACCCTTCATGTTCCTCCTGCGGGTGGTGGGTCCACAGTTGGACGAGCCCATGTATCCAGTTCGGGCTGGGCCTGGCCGGGCCCCATGGGCGAAAGCCCGGCCACCAGGCGCTCGCTCACGGGCCCCAACCCCAGGCCTGGCTCCAGGGTGGGACCCCGGTAACCCTCCGGGCCGGGTACTCAGACTCTTCGTTTTAACCGCCATGAAAGATCCTTCGAACCGTTCTTTGTCTCACCCTTCAACTAAGACCAATTTGTCATGGGAGACCCTACCAGGGGCACTAAGTGCCCCAGACAACATAGCTCCTAGGATCATTAGGGCACTCAAACTCCTCCACCACGATAAGGTGACGGTTCAAGGAGGAGCCAGCTCCATCTTGTTTTCTTAAAGTGACAGAGCCCTTAAATGGCTCATTCTGGAAGGTACTGAAAAATGTACGAGTAAAACTGCTGAAATCATCTTTATGTGAGAGTGATTTAGTGCAAAGAACTTTATAAACATAATTTGTATCAACCATTACACTATTATGACTTGAGAAAAAAAAAAGTCTTGACTGCACACCGGAAATAATAACTAAACTGATCTTTCTTGGTGTGACAGCGTATGTGTGTGTACCTGAATGTACCTGGTGTCACGTTGAGAGCAGGAGGTTTGGACCCAAGGTGCAGGAAATCCAGAACACACAGGCAGGAGCGGTTGAAAATTAAAAATCCTTTATTTAGGAAGAGAACCAAAAATCCAAGGGGCGAAGGCAAAAACCTAATAACTAAACTTAGATCAAAAACCAAAAGCTCATCTTCTGAGCAGAGACCTAAAGACAAGAGACTAGAGACTAAAGACTGGAGACAAAACAACGCTGACCAAGACAATGAACCAACAACCACAGAGTGACAAGACAAGGCTTGTAAACGCAGAGGGAGGTAATCAGGGAAACAGGTGACAGGTGTGAGGAGTGTGAGCTGAGGAGAAACTGGTGGAATCAATTAACTAAATGGGCAGGGAAAGAGCTTGGCAGGAGGGCAGATAAACATTAACCTATAAAACATGGATCTAACTAAACCTAAAAGACAGAGGGCAAACATAAACCACTAATAACCAGATGGGTGAGGAGGACTAATCTAAAGACAACTAGGAAAACCAGGGAGAGACTAGGAGGACACAAGAGGAGAGCCTGAAGTGGGAACAGGAAGGGGCTGGGCAACAAAGGGACACAGAACATGACACCTGGGGAGGGTACGTCGTTTGAAAGGTACAGCGTGGGCACAGCATCTGACTTAATCAATGGATTATATGATAAAATACTTTAAATTTGGTTGATGTCATTGCTGATTCATTTAAATGTCATCATAACTCTCAGATCTAAATTCAGGTACCAGTGGGCCCCGTGCAGAAATCATGTTTATCGCACTTGAAGATGCTGTACGCCATCTTGCTGCTGTATTTTAGCATCTGAACTGGACCTGATCAAGTGGCTAAAGCATGATTGTATTAACCCCTTCTAAGGCATTGATTCCAGTATTAATTAATGTGTAAATTATTAATAATTAATCCTGGAGGAAAATGTTTGTAGGCCCCACTGTGCAAAGACCTAGTTTGGACGTTCTACAGACTTAGTCTGGACTAACAGACTGAATATAGACATGATTTGCATGTCCATGTGATGTGTACTAGGCCAGTTGCTAATTGCTAGTTTAGCTGCTTCATCTGCCTCCAACAAACAACACTCTAGAACATGGCAAAGCTTCTGTGAGCCATTTGGTGTTTTTCTTTTCCTCTTTAAAGAGTTTGAGGCATAATTGCAAATTATTTTGTTGTTTTAAGAAAAAAACCTTCTGAAGTGCTGCTGAGATCCCATCTTTCCTGGAGCCTCCTGTGTCACGTCAGGGCGTGTTTGTTACACAGTCAGGCACGATAAACCCATTTTTAATAGTTCTTAGCAACATACCGGTAGCTACAGTTGAATTTATTTATTTATTTTGGTATATGTAGAACACATTCACTGTGGCCTTGCAGTTGTGTGTTAAAACTTCGATTTTTAAAAACATCTAAGTCTTGAGGGATTCATGAATTTGGCACAAAAACATGTAAGATTTCTACAGCTTAGAACCAAGGCTGTGATCCGTTGGCGTGATGTGTGCCAACGTTAAGACTCTTTTCACTATAAAAGGGAAAGCTTCTGTCATAACATTTCAGTCACATTTACATGGATTATAATCAAACAGCCTGTAATTTAACTGGCAGTAGTAGCTGAACTTGTTGAGTATTAAAGGCTGAATTGAAAGAATAAAAGAAGCAGGACTTAAAGGTGCAATTTGTAAATTTTTCATGGGGAAATAACCACAACGCAGTCTTTTTTCCTCTGAAAAAGGCCTAGGAGGGAGGTAGTCTGTTTACAATCTCTGAGCCCATGGGGTTGTTGAGTTTGTGCTAGCTAATGCTGCAGCACCGTCATTTGTAATTCCACGCCAGCTGACAAAATGCAGCATTGTTTTATAGAGATCTTAATCCAGTAACAAGAGCGATCAAACCCAGAAGTTATTTCTTGTACCCCTCAGATGCCACGGCATCTTTTTGTTTCACTTTAATATCTTGTGCAGCAGGTTAGAGGCTAACGTTGTGTTAACAATGCTAACAGTGAATTAGAAACAAATAGTCGGCTATAAAAATATCGCAAGCTACTTCTTCAATTACCAACAACTTGATGTTACAGTAAAATGTATTTATCTACTCATCAACTTGTTGTGTATGACTTGTCTGGCGCTGATCCGTGGCTGGAAAAAAACATGAAACTTACGGAACAAGAGTGAAAAAGCCACTCTGTGTGTTTTGAAAATGGGCTGCAGTACCCAAATTTGACCACAGGATGTCATTCTTACTTAACTCTAACATAATTCACCTTCAAGATTTTCATCTGGGAGCAAATCCCCATGATACAAATATCTTTTCTAAAAACAGTTGTATTGTTAATTCTTTCCAGATCAACCATTGCACCACTCTTCAGCAGATGTGTGGCCCCACACCTACGTCTCCCAGGGCCATTACTGCCTCTCGTCCTCTGACGCCTGGGAGCCAACCAACAACGACCCGTCCGGCGGCGTGGCATCCCCCCCTACCGGCTCTTACGTACTGGGCACTGAGGGCTACGACGGTCAAGCAGCGGCAGCTCACTTCCTGTCTCAACAACAGCAGCAGCAGTTCAGCCTTCAGCAGCAGACTCAGCTCCAACAGCTACAGCAGCTCCAACAGATCCAGCACTACCAGCAACAGCAGCTCCTGCAGTATCAGCAACAACAGGTGATTGATGCAGAGCAGGTGGGGTCTCAGTGGTGAGCGTGGGCCTCTGCCAAGCTGAACATTAAGCACTGAGACATTATACAGGGCTTGGGTTTACTCCAAGTCACCATTATACAGCATAAACCACCAGCAGCAAGTCCTGAGTGGAGAAGTGATGTTCAAATAGTCATGAAATACTGTCAGAAGTTTCATGTTATACAATTTAAAGGAACTCTAAATCGTTTTTTAACTTTACTCTAGAGCTTTAACGTTGATCTCAGTGATTGCTGAGTTAGAAACTTGACCAGTTACATATTTGACACCATTCTGAAGCCATTTGCTGGCCAAAAACCACACTAGATAGTTTTGTGGAGCGGGTAGGTGTCCCATAGTGGTGTGCATCTCTACCTGCCTCACGATTCGATCCGATTCCGATTATCTGCCTAACGATTCGATTTGAGTCTGAAATGCATCACGATTCTTCACACAAAAGTTTTCATTACTTAATAAAAGCAGTAGAATAGTTTTCAATTTCTTTTTGATTTCGAAATTCCTGAAAAACAGAACATTCATCTATTCACTATAGTGAGCAATAATTTTTAAAGTGTGCTGCCTATAATTACTTAAATAATATAAGAAATAATGTTTTCGGTAGAGCAGCTTTAAGATAGAATATTACTGAACTTAAAAATAGTAAACAAATACTGTGTTAAGTGATTCTTTCACATCCAGGATCCCAAAACCGAAATTAGCCCAGACATCCGATTTAAATGTAACGGGTACATCTTTGATTACTGGTAATGTTGGCCCTGTATCCCTGTCCGCCTTTTCTGTTTTAAATTGGCGCTAGGGCAACGCAGTGCGCATGTCATTGCAACTCTGCCCCCAGAAGTAATTGTGAAACCTTAAAACTTTATTGTCCTGCATAGACATAGACCAGGAGTCAGCAACCTGTTCCCATCAAAGAGCCATTATTACCCGTTTCCCACAGTAAAGAAAACACTGGGAGCCACAGCAGCCGCGGCGTTGTGGGCGGGGCCTACCCTCAGACAGCAGAGCGCTGCTCACAACAGGTGACAGCAGCCAGTACCGGTCGCTCGTGTACGTCAAAGTTATCTTTCATAAGACGATAATCAATAAAACAATTTATATAAAGTGGATCCAGAAGCTCCAGCCCGTCTCTGCCTACAATATATTGGTATTTTTCACCCTGTTGGTGGTTTTACTGAGCAGGTGCCACTTTTGTCATACGTTTCTTTTTAAAACATGTTTAGACTGTTCAGAATACAAATCCAGGCTCTGTCACGTTTGATTGTTGTAATAAAACTTTGTAGGTGGGGAAGGTCAGAAAAGGATCCGATCATTTTGTTTTCCCCTCATTTACAGTGACGGAGACAACGGCGCAGTGCGCCTGGCTCTGGTGTTAACCAAGTTAAATTATATCTCTTTGCAACAATTTTCACAAGAAAACAGAACAGTTAAAAGCAGGGCTTGTGTTGTGTTGACCGGATAGTTCCCATATTTAACCGTTTATTTTGACGGAGAAAGAATAGAAAGAATTACCCCGACGCATGCAGACGAACAGACACTTTATTCGTTTCGCGCAGATGTAGCTAAATCACTTAAGAAATGATTCCCATCTGAGCTTGACACAGAGCTCAGCGCAGCTCGCTGTCAGCGCGTACGTAAGGCGCACAGCGAGCTGAAGTTGTGGAGAGGGGCTTGGAGCACGTCGCAGAACCAGAGCGCATGCAGGAAGATTCCTCCGACTGAAGCGAGACTTGTCACATAGAAAATGTTCCCTGATTATGAAACTTTGGCTGAATAGTGCTTGTTCCTGTCTCCAATGTGGCGACACATCCAGGAGCCGTCTGAGGAGAATCCCAGAATCTCACGTCCTCTTCAGCTCAGAATGCGCCTTTATGATTACGCACAAGCGTGACGCGTCAACCCGGTCTCACAGTAAGACCGGGTTGGAGCTGTTCAGGTTTACGCAGACAATCTTTACATTTAGAATTGGCATACAGATGTAAAATTAATGCAGTAAAATATAAAGCATTTTATTTAAATATCAATTCATTATTTTACAAGCACAGAGAGCCGCATCAGATGGATGGAAGAGCCGCATGCGGCTCCAGAACCGCGGTTGCTGACCCCCGACATAGACATAGGGAGAGAATCTCATTATGTCACGTTGCTGCATCGATGCGGAATCATGCACGGCTGAATCGCGATGCATCTTAGAATCGATCATTTTTCCCACCTCTAGTGTCCTATAGGGGGCACTCTTTACTTGCCATACAGCTATTAGCTGTGATGCTAGCGGTTAGCATTGGGTCAGTTCGCCTATCATCAATAAAAAGCACAAGAAGAAAAATAAGGAGTTTTATATTTATTTTGTTGGCATCACAGCGAAGCCTGGAAGTCAAAGTAAGAGAGTAATGTATTTGGAGGCAAAGCAAAGAGCTAAATCCAGAGTGAACATTGGTGTGGCCTACGATAGCTTGAGGGAGCCAAAGAAGTGGACTAATAGTGACCTGGCTTTGTTGCTAATGTAATAATAAGTAATAATATTTTTGTCCAACAATATGGATTGTTTTACGTTGTGTTAGCATTAGCTCGTTGTTAGCGCTAGCTACAGCAGGCTGCTGCAGGGTTGTTTACGACAGTCGTAATTCCACTTAAAACCATTAGGGCTGGAGCTGGAAACTGGTTTTACTTTCAAGCCAAAAAAAATTTTTTTTGATGATGAAAAAGCGTTTTCTACAGATTCTGCTTTTTTGTTTTCTTCTTCTGACAGAACAATTGGGAATTCAGGTGCCAAAACCTTTTTTATGCAGAATTTGATTGATTTCCTTTAAATTATAAGTAAAATGAAGCAAAACAAGAGGAAACAGAGCTAATTTTCACATGCTAATTTAAACAGACTAAAGTTCAGAACTAACAACTGGACAACATAATGGACTTTTACATGAAAAATTTACAAAAAATGGGCTGAATACCATATTTTTGTCACTCCTTTCCTCTCATTTCTTGACCTTCGTCTCATCCTTGTGTTTTTTTCTAGGCTCTGGAGCACCGGCTGCACAGCGCCAACCACTCTTTGCAAGCAACGCCCAACAGCACCATCCACAGCCTGGTTCACCAGGTTCATCCTCCTCTGGTGGACCTGTGGAACGCGGGTCAGATGGAGGCCTACCAGGCAGAAGCCGGAGGCTACATGGGTGTAGCGGCGGTGGTGGAGCCCAGCATGTGTGTTCCTCCAGGAGAAGAAACCATGCTGACGGATCACTCCCCGCTGCTGGAGCAGCAGGAGGAGGAGCAGGTCAAGGTGAGATTCAAACAGATATTTTACATAAGATAATCATCATAAACTAATGTGGTTTTGCAAATTGTATTTTCAATTGCTTATTTTTAACTAATTAAAGATTGACTTGCTGATGATTTGATGAATTTATGATTCTGACTCATGTCAAAATGATAAAATACAATTAAAATGAACTACAACATGTATTAATATATATTTTTGATAAAACTTCATAAACAATAAATACAATGTTTAAACTGATACACCTGCTGTAATTCAGAGCATTTTTCACCCTCTTTGTCATGTTAAATTGCAAAAGATTATTCTTAAAGTGTGAAACACAGACATTTTTTTTAATATATTTCTGATTAAAATCAGTCACTCTGAGTTTTTCACGCAGGCTGAACACGCAAATAGTCTCCTACATCCATCTCCTGCATTAGCTTCTGATAGAAAATAGACGGTGAAACTCCTGGATTAGAAAAGCCTGACAGATCTACGTCACACTGTCACCTAACATTCATGGACTCACCCAGCTTGACTCTTAATAGGGAAGGCTGTTGTTGGTTTAGCGTCCAGGAAACAGCAGAGAACATCTCGGCTAGTAGAAGCTAACCATTAGAATTAACTCCACCACACAGCAGAACTCCTCCAGGTTTGTGTTATTTGTGGAGATAAAACATAAACATTGTAGAGCAAACAGAGTCAGTGGTAGAGTTCTTTTGCTGTTAGTCAGTCAGAGGAGAGATGTCCAAATATCAGGAAATAAGAATACAAATCCTGTTTCTGAAGCCACTTCTGCCCCCCCCCCCCCCCCCAAGAGTACGACTTACAAGGCATTCATTCCCAGTAGAGACCACTGCAAATTAATTGATTAAATGAGTGTTCAACACCTTTAAAGTTTTAAATGACAGTTTGTTTCAGAAAAGCAGCTGTCAGATTGTTCACTTTAGCACTAATCATCTCTCCAGTTGGTTAAGTACCGTTTAACTTTGAAGAAGAAGAAGAAGAAGAAGAAAATATAATTTCTATAACGCCTCTCGAGATAAAAATCACGAGGCGCTCCACAAAAACAAAAAATGTAAAAATATAAAAAAGCATTTAGAAAATGTTTAAAAATATATTTAAAATGAGCAAAAAATACATTTGTGATAAACAAATGTTAAGAAAGAGAGAGAGAATAGGAAAGAGGGAAATCAGTGGATCCTGAGGAAGGTGGAATAGGTGGGGAGAGCAGAATAAAGAGAGAGAGGTGAAGAAGGTCACACCAAAGCCAGCCTGAACAAGTGAGTCTTCAGCTGCTTTTTAAAGGAGACCACTGAGTCCACTGATCTCAGGCTCAGGGGGAGAGAGGTCCAGAGTCTGGGGGCCACAGCAGCAAATGATCTGTCACCTTTGACCTTTAGCCTGGTGCTGCACAACCAGTAATATCTGCTCGATAATATTAATGCTAATTTTCATTTTACCATCAATTTTTGTAAGTTAGCAAATTTATTTGTACCAACATCCCGTTGTACCATCATGGAAGTGAACATTTTTTTATTTACATAAAGCATTTGCAAATAGTTTTTTGATGTTAGATGAAACATCTTTGAGTAGGTGAACAATTAGAAAATGTCAATTTTTTTGAACCCTTTTAATGTTTTGATGAGCATTTTGTACAAATTTGTATGTCATAATTTCATTTAATCGTGCTTTGGTCATTTTCTTTTACCATGCATGGAGCAAAATTATGCGCTATACATATTTTTACAAGATCCTTGTCTACGTTGGTGCAGGTATGATGTAGCAATTGCAAACGATGCTGTACATATTTTGATCAGCTGCCAAACAATTCACATATTTTATTGTGAACAAATGTTTTCATCATTTTTCTGTTACTGTCCTGATCAGGATGAAGAGGTAGTGCTGTGCATGGAGAGTGAATCGGTCACATTGACTCCGCCCACGCAGCAGGGGGACGCCTCAGGTGGCAGTAGTCCGGGACAACCGCCAGCAGAACCAATCACGGAGAGGAAGGCGTCTGATGTCAGCCCAGGCCTCATTCAGACTCTAGAGGAAAAGGAGGAGGAGGAAGAGGAGGAGGAGGATGGGCAGCTCGCCTCCATGGCAACCAATTGAGTCCCTGACTGCCAAAAGGCTCCTGATAACAAACTGACCTGGGAGTCAGAGAGGAACGAGCAGAGAGCAACAACATGTCTATTAATCTGTTCCTTTTCAGGTTTCCAGAAACTTCTTCTTTTGGTTGGAATTCCTTCAAATGCTGAGCAACTAATTTAATGTGGACTCCCAGCGAGACACGAGCTCATGCAACAAAGGACACACCTCTGTCTTTGTAAGCCTTACGTCCCAATGGAGTAAAGAGTAGAGGACAGAGGAGGAGGAGGAGGAGGAGGAGGAGGAGGAGGAGGAGGAGGAGGAGGAGGAGGAGGAGGAGGAGGAGGAGGAGCGCAGACTAACGAAAGCATTTCCACTGGAGGGAGAAACAACTGATGAAGAGGAGGAGAGAGGACACGTGCATGCTTTTTTTGAATACAAGCACCTCGACTCTGTCATCGTCTTATAACAATGACGAAAACATAATTCAACATAATAAGAACATTTTTGTAAAGAAAAACAGGAAAAGAATAAAAATCTCTGTAGACGTGTTTAAAAGGTCCTGCAGGTTTCCAACTGGAGAGCTGCTCTGTTTACAACAAATTACCCTTATTTTATATCCAATCGTCTTCTCTTATCAACGCGGCCCAAGCGATTCGGCAGAGGATCAAAGCAGACTCGGAAAGAGTTCGTTTCGGTAAACAACCCCACCCCCCAAAAATCCATTCTTCTAGGATGATGTGGCACCAAGAAGCCCACGAAGGCACAACCCAGGGACGAGGCCACTGTGCTGACTGCACACACCCAACACTGCACAGATAAGGATTGCAATGTAAGATAGCGTGCTTCCTGCTCTGACTCTCTGTATGCATGCATCGCAGAGTACCACGGAGTACCTGTTCCATACAGCACTGAATAGACTTTGCACTGAACTGTTGAATCCCAGCTGTGAGCCTGCGGTGAGTGGGGAAGTTTCATTGTTTTAGTTGTTTTTGCTGTTTTTTGCAATGATGCAATCCAACCGATCGGCGTTTGCCTTTGGATGTTTCCCGATTTCAGACACACCCAGAACCAGAACCAGAACCAAAACCGAGCCGTCCAACAACAACAAACCTTCAGCTGCATTTCTTCTTCCCTCGCAGGCGTCGACCGCAACGCGTTGAGGATTAAAAACTGCTACTATGAATGTAATGGAAGACGGAGGACGGTGCATAAATCTTTAGACATCATGAGGAGGGATTCACTGCTGGCTCACTTAGACCAACACACACACACACACACACACACGCACGCACGCACACACACACACACACCGAAGGAAATATCTAAATTGTAACCAGCAATAGGCAGACAAACACTGGACCTCCAACAGACCAGTGTTGGCTGTCGCATCGATGTAAATAGAGTAAATAGAAATTGCCTCTCACTCACAGTCACAACTGTTTTATTACAGTTTGATTTCTTTATTTTTCTACGCCTCTTGAGTCCCATTTTATTTAGGGATTGCGCTCAAGCTTTGCAATTTTTTTTAAATGTGCACACACACACACATTCACACACAAAGAATAACGAAACGTTTTAGCGAACCCAAACGAGTCCATCAGCGAGTGGGGAAGCAAACATAAAAAGCATCTGGTTGAAGTCAATCAGCCAATCAGGTAACAGAACTGAAGCCTGGGACTGAACAGATTGGTGTCTTCCTGCTCATCGTTACTACTGTGAAGCAGCTGCCTGGAGTGTGAGAGTGACGCTGATGATGTTCGAGGAGCATGTTTTACTTTTATTTTCTTTCCTTTTTCCTTGCATCTAAGGAAAAGTTTGTGTTTCCCAGCGATTTTGGGTATTTTAACAGCAGCGTCGGACTTTCTGTGCATGACTCACTGAGCGACTCTTACGGTGTTGGGCATCTGTCTCCCCCCTGTTGGGGAGCACCTTCTCTCACTCTGATGATTGTGTGAGAAATTTTGAAGACAACAGCAGAAAAATCATGACTTATTGACTTGAATGAATTTATTTATGGATTGCTTCTTTATGCAATGATGGGGACGATGTTTATTTTTCTACTGACTGGTTGAAATCCCTTCCAATACGAGGTGGAACAGGTGTCATGGATGTAAAGAGGTTTGTTCTGGTCTGGTTTTGAGCATTTTGCACACAGAAAAGACACCTCTGCCAGTTTGGTAGCTCTTGGTGAAATAAAGAATCCATCGTCTCATTTATTTTACCTTAAAGGGGACATATTATGCTAAACTCACCTTTTGCGGCCTTTTGTGCTGCCGTGTGGATCTCTACTGCCTCTATAAACACTCAAAAAACCATCTATTTGCTTTCTGTCTGTGTTTGGTTTTAGGAATTATGCGCCTAAAACAAGCCATTTCATAAAGTCCCCACTCTACTCCAAGCCCCTCCCAGATATCAGAGCTTCTCAGCTTATAGCAGCCCGAGTGATGGATAGGTGGGCGGGGCCAGCTCTAGCTTGTTTTCTTCAAGTGACAGAGCCTTGAAATGACTCATTCTGGAAGGTATAGAAAATTAAACTGGTGAAATTGCTTCATGTTAGAGGGATTTTGTGCAAAGAACTAAATAAATATGTTTTAGACCATAGAACTATTATAACTTAAAGCAACACTAGGGAGTTTTACTTTAAGCTATTGCTTTCAAGCTAGTTTCAGTGGTTCTTCCAAACTGGCATGGGGCAGCCCTCTGCTGGCCAGAAACTGCACCAAACAACTTTGGTGGTTTGGGTAGGTACACTAGGAGGAGTCGACCTGCTTTAATGCTTTACTGTGCCTGTAACTTCTATAAAGGCTAGCAGTTAGCTTTTTTTCTTTGTCAACCATCAATTAAATGAGCAAAAACAAGTTTGCTTTATTGTTGACATCATGTCGGAGCCTTTAAATAAAAGTTTAAGAGTAATGTCTCTGGAGGCAAAGCGAAGACAGCGTGAACGAGACAAACACAGAGCTGAAACCATGAGCATCAGCCTACGCTCGTTGGATTCAGATTCAAACCATCTGAAAAAGTAGCAAGCAAAGTCTTAACATTTTTATTTGTTTCTGAACTTCCAATAATCACACATTAAAACATACAAAACAAAACCTGATGACAGTATCTGCAAAGCCTGCTGCAGGGTTGTTTACCACAGTTGTAATACCGCTTTGAACCAGTAGGGGGGGGGGGTAGCTGGAAACTTATTAAGTGTTGCTTTAAGAAAAAGGTCATAAGATGTCTCCTTTAAGAAATCATGCTGCGACTCTACGGCCGGGACATACTTGCTTTTTAACCTTGCGTTGACACGTTGACGTGTCTTGTTCACTTGCTGCTGCGCTGCATGTAGTCCTGGAGTACTCCACTAGGAGGCACAGTAGAGAACTCTGGCTGGATAAAGTCACGGGTTTGTAAGGAAAAACCAGAATAAACATGGCGTCAATAGATGAGATCAGTAACTGGTTCATTTTGAAACCAGGGCAAAAAAAAAAAAAAAAAGACTGCGTTCCAGAGACGGCGTGACAATGACGAGTATTTCTGGCTTGTTTTGTCAACTCCCTCTACTGGTTACTCGCAAATTGCAACTTCTGAACATGAAAGGATGTGCACAAATGACGCTTTGAACAAACGCAAGTTATGCAAGGCAGCCGTGATAAACGTGTACGCGAAATTACAAGCAAGTATATTCCGGCCCTAAAAGGTCATAAAAACAACTAAAATATGCTCAAAACCAAGAAAAACTAAATCTCGGTACTTGATGACACGTGTTCATTTATTTATTGAGCTTGGTCGGGAGAAATAAACCTGTACAGAGTCTATCATTTTATGTAGATAAAACCCTTCTGGGAGCAGTCTTTTTTCCTTTAGGAGTCAGAGACGTAGTGGAAAGATTGATCATTCATATTTGTTAAAGAGTAAGTCACCCCCAAATCAACTTTTTTTCTGATAAACTGCTTAAATGCGTGTCTAATCGTGCTGCAGACACGTGTAGTCAATAGTTTTGCATTTTAGTTAAAATTTTCATTTTCTGCTGAAAACTGTCAGTGTTGTGCCGTTGTCAGGTAAAAACTCTGCACTGCAGTTGAATTTAAATCTGCCATCGCTATTGGCTAAGAGGTACCCTAGAATGTTAGCTGGTACGATATGATGTCACAATGTCATTGTAAGCCTGTGTGTGTGTATTTGTTGGCGGCTCCGCCCTCTCGGTCTGCTAGGCTACAGCATTTGTTGCATTTTTCAAACAGGAAGTGGGAGTGGAGTAATAGTCTGATGGGGGTGACTTGCTCTTTAAAGTTGAAAGCATCACAGCTTGTTTGGGCTCGACTGTTTAGTAGAAAAAGGTCTCATTTCACAGGCAAGCACGCAGAAAAGACACCGTTTGGGTTAGCTTTGTTTATGTTGCATTTCATGGATTTTTTTTTAATGTTTGCCTGAATCTCAATGAATGAATAAACTAATAACATGAAGCCAAATATATTTCCGTGGATGTGACGGTTCATCTATTGTGTCCTGATCATAAAGCTTTTCCTTTTTTTTTCCCCGTGTGTGTAATTTTACTGCCATCTTCTAAAAGGTGTCTGCAGGCACGGCCGTACAAGTCTGCCTCTGGTCCTCTGCCTTTCTCTTTTCCTCTGTCTGTCCTGCATACTTGTATCCGTCCGTACGTCTGTTTGTGTACAGTAAACTTGTCTCCTGTCCTTTTATTTTTTCATTATTTTTTTAGGAAGAATCACTGCCTGAATTAACTTTTTAAAAACATAAGTCAAAGGGGGGTTTGAAGCCCTTAAATAAGTGACATACATAAAATTTGTGGCAAAATATAAGAAACTGCTGTATAAAATGCTGTAAAATCAGATGGCTTCTGTAAAACTGCATACAACTGGATTTAAACGAGGCAGTGTGACTGAAAACACACCTATGCATGCTTGTTGGATGGTTGTCACCGGCTGGTTCTTCTATGTGGTTTTCCCTCTCTCTCTCTCTCTCTCTCTCTCTCTCTGCACGATGGAGCCTTCTTCACTCCCTCCAGCTCTTTTATCTGTCTCCTCTTCCTTTTTTTCTGGTGGAGAAAGAGCAAATAAACCAACAAACTGCTTTTCTTGTGTATTGTGGACCTCTTCTTCTTTTTGCACTCTGTAAATAATTTGACTCTCACGGGTTTCCTCCGGAGCTTCCACATGTGTTGTGAGTTGTTTTATTGTTGTTTGTTAGGTGGCTCGGGCTGGCACACTGGTGAAGTCACAGAGGAATCTAAAAGCCTTTTCCTTATCGGGGGTTTTATGCTGGGAGAATGTTAATAACAAATGCTCGTGGACGGGCCTCATCTGCTGGGAGTGACAGTCTGTTTGTTTGAGCTCATGGAGGAATCAGAGCCTAAAACTTGCTCTTGACCTTCACAGGAAAAAGTTTTCTCTTTGCTGGTTGAGTACTGGAGCTGGCAATGTCCATCCATCCATTTTCAGCTGCTTATCCGGAGTCGGGACACGGGTGGCAGTAGCCTTAGCCGAGATGCCCAGACTTCCCTCTCCCCAGCTACTTGGGCCAACTCTTCCAGGGTAATCCCAAGGTGTTCCCTGGCCAGCCGAGAGACATGGTCTTTCCAGCGTGTCCTGGGTCTTCCCTCGGGTCTTCTCCCTATTGGACATGCCCGGAAAACCTCACCAGGGAGGCATCCTGACCAGATGCTTGAGCTACCTCAACTGGCTCCTCTCGACGTGGAGGAGCAGCGGGTCTACTCCGAGCCCCTCCCGGATGACCGAGCTTCTCGCCCTATCTCTAAGAGAGAGCCCAGACACCCTGCGGAGAAAACTCATTTCGGCCGCTTGTATCTGCGATCTCGTTCTTTCGGCCACTACCCAAAGCTCGTGACCATAGGTGAGGGTAGGAACGTAGATCGACCGGTAAATCGAGAACTTCGCTTTCTGACTCAGCTCTCTCTTCACCACGACAGACCGGTACAACGCCCGCATCACTGCAGACGCAGCACCAATCTGCCTGTCGATCTGGCATTCCTCACTCGTGAACAAGACCCCGAGATACTTAAACATCATCCCTGACCCGGAGGAGGCATTCCACCCTTTTCTGATTTAAGACCACGGTCTCGGATTTAGAGGAGCTGATCTCATCCCAGCCGCTTCGCACTCGGCTGCGAACCGTGGCAGCGGAAACTGGAGATCACTGTCCGATGATGCCAACAGGACCACATCATCTGCAAAAAGCAGAGACTTAATCCTAATGCCACCAAAACAGATCCCCTCCACACCTTGGCTGTGCCTAGAAATCCTGTCCATAAAAGTTATGAACAGAATCGGTGACAGGGCAGCCTTGGCAGAGTCCAACTCTCGGAAACGAGATCGACTTACTGCCGGGAATGCGGACCAAGCTCTGACACTGGTCATACAGGGACCTAACAGCCCGTCTCTGAGGGCCTGGCACCCCACACTCCCGAATAACCCCCACAGGGCCCCCCGGAGGACATGGTTGGACATCTTCTCCAACAGTAGTGTGTCCAGATCTTGTAAAATGGGGTGGCCCAGGTGAGGCACAACTTTGTGCATGGGTGGCACCAAAGGTTATGCTTTTTTTGTTTTACCCCCCCAAGCCTTTTGTGGACAACAAAAATCCTATTTAAAGGTAAATTAGTGTTTTGGCAACTGGGGTGGCCAATCAGATTCCAAGGGTGGCATGTGCTACCCCAGGCCACTCCCTGGACACGCCCCTGTTCTCCAAATCCACAAAACACATGTAGATTGGTTGGGCGAACTCCCACACACCCTCCAGGATCCCCCTAAGGGTAAAGGATGGAACTGATAAAATGAAACACTATTTCATGAGAATGCTTAGTTTTATGAAATGTTTTGCTTTTGAAATTTTAATGTAAAATATTAGGTTAAAGCCTGTTCCTATACTATTTTCTATGATTTGAATACACCACAGCACTTGGCTCGAATAAAAAAAAGAGGGCTGTAAGTTTCTGTAGCAGTTTCACTGAAAAGCTTCGGTGAATTTTACTATTAAAGTTTAAACTGCTCAACAGTTCCCAGCCGACATCGATGGGAGTTTGAGAAAAGTTATTTGGAGCTCAGTGGCTCATTTTAAAGTTTAAACAAGTTACAGGAAGTTGGTCTTTTACTGACTTAAAGATCAAGTTTACTTCTATTTTTATTATATCTGCAGTGTTCTCTAATAGGAAGTTGTTGTAAGTTCAGATGCTTCTGTTTGAAGACAAAGTCAGTCGAAGGAGAAAGTAACTTCAGAGGATTTCCTGATATTTGAACATCTCTTCTCTGATTGGCTAACAGTAACATGACTCTGTTCTGCAACGTTGATGTTTTATCTCCACAAATAACTCAAGCCTGGAGGTGCTGTGTGGTGGAGTTGCTAATGCTAATGGTTAGCTTCTGCTGGTTGGGACCTTCTCTGGTGTTTCGTGGACGCTACACCATCAACAGCCTTCCCCGTCGCAAGTCAAGATGGGTGAGTCCATGGATATTCAGTGACAGTGTGACGTGGATCTGTCAGGATTTTCTAATCCTAGAGTTTCACCGTCTATTTTCCATCAGAAGCTAATGCAGGAGATAGATGTAGGAGACTATTTTCATGTTCAGCCTGAATTAAAAACTCAACGTGACCGATTTTATTCAGAAATAACAATTTAAAAATGATTTTTCAGTGTTACACACCTTTAAAGCTAGAATCTGGAGTATTTTGCATCCCACAGCACCATCTAGTGGCAGACAAATGCATCGCCCCTCAAGCTGTTGTTTTTACGACTGAAAGCAACGCCTCTAGAGCTGAAACACATTGTTTTACAATTATTCTTCACATGATATGTTGTTTATTCAACTCTGCATCTGTCTCGGTGCATCCTCAAATGCTCGTGCACGCTCTGTGACTGACATCTGTATATAAACGGATGTATAACACTATTGGCTAACACTGAAGCGCTCAGTTCAAATTGCATGGGGCTCTATGGGACGGGGAATGGGCTTAGCACAAAAAACGACATTTTGCCTACATATAGGCACAGTATTGGAAAAGACTATCATCATCACAGCCAAAGTGAGAGAAAAGAAGCACTGTTACCATAGTAACCACAATAGAACACAGTTAGCAGCTTTAACATTTCTTTAGATTTTTTTTTCATTTGCAGTTTTGACATAAAATCTGAAGCATTTTCTCATTCTTACAGAATTATATCCCTAAAGTCTCGAGGGCTTTCAGAGCACGAAGCTGATGTTTGCTGGAATTTGCTGCATTTGGAGTCCAGTTTTCTAGTTAAGACACGAAACAAGTTAATAGACAACGTAAGAATTTATTCTTTTGAAAAATTACAAACTGTTGATGATGATTTAAATATTTACGATACAAGAAATATATTAATTGCTTTAAATCATTAAAACGAGTTTCAATCAGTAAACTTTAAATGCACGATCTTATAGGCCTTCTTGGCCAAATCATTTAGGTCAGTGTCCTTTCATTATTGTACAGTTCATAGCTGTGAGGAGCTCACGTGCACTTAATGAAATGAACTGGTTTTCGTACACAAGATGATGGTTCCGTCAGATCAGATAAGGAAGCAAACCGAAAACGTCTGCATGGCCGAAGAGACAGGAAGGCACCTGAGATTTTAAAAAGAGAAAAAGGTTAAATAGAAAACAAAATGCTGTTGGACTAGAAGTTTTAAGAGCTTTGTGTGAAGCAGCTCCTCATGCAGGGTGAGAGCTGAATGTCTGTGAGAGCTGCAGGAGGCCTGGCTCCTCCCAGTTCGCACCTCCGTCTGGGAAAAAGGAGTAAAACAGTTAAAGGTCCATCTCCTTCAAACCCTGTCCTCTTATACCGGCTCATCTGACTCCTCACTTTCCCTCTCCTCCTGCAGGGAGGACAGTGTAAGTACAGGGCTGGTGTGTGTCACGGGGGAGGAAGGAGGGGAAGACAAGGTAGAGGAGGAGGTCGAGGGGGATGCTGCATCCTGAGCAGTGCCCTCAGCTCCTCTTGGGTCGACAGAGCTGCTGGGAGACGAAGGAGCCGTTTCCGACCCAGGGGCTCCTCTTAGAGATGGAGTCTTTCCCCGGGAATCGTCCCTGGACTCCCTCCTCAGCAGCTCACTCTCCCTTCTGCTCCCCTCTCCCCACAGGTCTCTGTCCCGTGTGGGTGAGGAGGCGGCGGATGAAGAAGGCTGGTGCTTCTTGGTTTTCCTGCTGGCGTCTCTGAAGCTGGCCAGAGGCGGGCGGAGCCTCACCCCGCTACGGGTTGAGCCCTCTATAGCCTTCTGGAGCTGTAGAAACATCAAAAGGCGGAACGTGTGAAGATGTGCGTTCAGTAAAGTGAGTGTCCAGGAAAGACGCGCTGAGCAGCTGAATCAGAGTGAACGATGAGGCACCACAGCTGCTCACAGCTGTCGTGCCACATTACCCGATCAAAACCGAGGAATGTGACACGAATAATGCAAATAATAAAACTCAAAGGCTGACTTTACCTCTTTAAGCGCCACAACGCCCACCAGCTTCCCGATGCTGGTGACGTAGGCATGGCTGAGACCCAGCAGGGAGAACAGAGTGTGTGTCTGAGTAATGAAAGGGAGGAGAAAAGCATCCAGTCAGCGATAAATCCGTTGGACGGCACTAGTGAATTACACGTACTCATGATCAACGTATATTCGGACGTTAATGCCACTGATTATCAACTTTATTGGTTAAAATTAATACATTTTTAACAACAGTATATTTTAAACAAGTTTCTATGTTATTAATCAAATGAAAAACAACAAAAATAAAATCAATATTTAAATGGTTTAAAGGGACTATATCGTGGAAAATGAGGGTAGTTTGTGTCACCATTCCCAGAACCGTCCCATCCAGGTAGTGCCTAACCATACGCTCCTGCCCTGGACTGTAAACACTAACGCCCACACTCTTCGAGTTGCGAGCGGGAGATTTAATCTGTGCATTTGTGAATAAGTGAGTTTTTTCCCCATCTAGTCTGCACTTTAGATAACACTCAGAACCCAAAAATGCCTTCTTGTCTTTGAGAAGTAAAGGAATTAGCTCAGTCTTCCTAAAGAAGAATGTAATTTCCAGAAATTGTTGGATTTTATCTTCTGGAGCTCTCACAAACTGAGCAACAGTGTGATCGGGAACCACCGCCTGTACCAGAGTGGATTTCCAGATGGATTCATTCTACAAACTGGCGCCATTCCAACGTTGAAAGAGCCCAGGGCAGTTAGTAAAAGCAAAAATGCTAACTGCTAGCTGTTAGCTAAATGGTTAAAATGTATGGTGGGTGAGCAAGCTGCTTCCCTCTTCTTCATGATGCTTTGCTGGGGATTTAGGGTCACGTCGTGGAATCTAATCATCTTAGTTGATAAAACGGCGTCTCCATATTTTAGTCGGGTGTAGGCATCTCACTGCTCTGAAAGGTTTAAAATAGGATGACATAGATCCTTTAAGGAGCATCTTTAGCCATTGATCTTTTTTAATCACTATTTCTGCTTTTAGACGTTTTTGTTGCTTTATTTTTTAAAATAAATCACACAAAAATCTCTGCTAGCAAAAGTCAAACAAGCTAAAAAGCATCAATCTTTTCTGGGAAAGTAGACGGAACATAATAAAGCGCTCACTTTGTGCAGCGACGTCCTCTCCACCAGCTGAAACGGGGAGGGGTCGATGCGTATCTGCTCCATGTCAACAGGTTTGTCCAGCTCCGCCTCCTCCCAGGTTTTGATCTGAATCAGCCAATCAGAACGCAAAGAGATGGAATCAGGTTAGACAGATCTCTCATCGGTCACGCTTGTTGGCTCATTGTTGGACGGTGAATCAGTGTTGTGTCGCACCTCCTCGGGGGACATGGTGTCAGCGAGCGGAGGAGTCGTAGCTTCCTGAATGAAAATAAGAAGAAATGCTGACTAATCAGCACAAACACAGATAAACACCTGGTGGTTCCAGGAGATCACAGGGTGCTAAGATGTCAGCTCAGGTATGCGTGCATGATGCAACGCTGCCATGCTGGATTGATACACACCGAGCTGTCGCTACCAACCCGACAAAACAACACCGACGTTGGACTCAAACTGGAAGTGACGAGTGTGTGAGGTTAAACCTGAGTTTCCGTCTGGCCTGTCGAAGACGAGGAGGAGAAGAGTCGCTGAAGAGTCGTCCTGACAGATGGCAGCTTGCGTTTGTCTGAGGACACGACGTGGCGACACATGTCAGAGGAGACAGACTGACGTGTGACGGCTGAACCTGCCAGGATGTGCAGAGGAAGCGCTGTGTTACCTGACCCCGTGTGGTTGGTGGCGGGCTCCCGAGGGGCGGGGGACGGGACGGGCCCGTTGCATTCCTCCTGAGCGGGCGTGACGGTCTGATGGGCGCAACGTGGTCAGTAATCTCCACAATCAAGATGAAAATAGACAAAAAGTAGTCCTCCAACCTTGTCGGGAACATCGTCTTCCTCCTCGTCTACAAAGGCGAAGGACTCCCAGCTGACTTTGGAGCCTTGGTCTGGTGAACACTGACCTCTTTCAAAGACTCGCCTTTCTGGAGAGAGCCACCAGTCCAAGACAGCCTGAAGCTCGGTCCGCTCAATCGAGCCGAGTAGAATCATGCATTCTGCAGCAAATCACAACAACAGTTTGACATTTGGATACAGTTTTAGATCAGAAAATTGATTTTACTCTCATGGCTGTTGGATAAAGGTTAGCTTAGCATAAACATGGGAACAGACTAAAGGTGAATTAGCTTTAGTGGAGAAAACACACACATCAAGGCTTTTCATTAACCTTGTCTAATCCTTTAACACTAAGCCTTTACAAGGGAAGGCTCAAGAACCAGTGTGATGATGTCAGCCGTCCCACCTTTAGAGTCGACGAGCGGGATGGTTTTCAGGGTGGTGGTCTCCAGCAGGTGGTTTAATTCCCGGTAGGTGGACTGAGAAGACAGGAACTTCACTTTGCGCACCATGATGTCCTCCACAAAGATGTTGTACTTGCTGGATTTGCAGGGGCACAACAAAAAAAAAACAAACAGTTTTGCCTTTTATTTATCCTCCTGATGACGGCTGCACAGGAAAAGGTTTGGTGTTCACCTGATGTGTCCGAGAGCCAGCTCCGGCAGGTAGGGTAGCTTCTTCACCTGGATGATGGAGTCGTAGAGAGACGGTTGCAGACCCTGAGCCACCATGTTGGCCAGGATGACCGCCACCATCATGGGCAGGATGTGGGAGATCTGACCCGTCAGCTCGAAGCAGATCACCGCAGTGGAAACCGTGTGTGTGACAGCGCCCGTCATCGCCGCCGCTCCTGACGGAAGGGAGATTCGGCGATAGAGTTCAGTTAAATAAAAGAGCCTGAAAAGTATGAATTCCTGTTGGAAAAATGTCAAATCTACAGAGCAGTACGTCTAAAACCTGTGAAAGAAGATGAGAAAGTTAAGAGACCAACCAATGACGGCATAGCCTCCCGGTAGTATTCGGTAGACGATCCCATCGAACAGTATCCCGTTTGGGAAAAGCGTGGCCATGATCTCCCCGACGAGCCGACCGAAAGCAGCTCCTTGAGGATAGAGAGAAGGCGCACAGGTGAGGACGAACTGAACAGAAGCGCAGCAGGAGAAACTGCGCTGATGTCACAAAGTCCTCTTACCTAAAATGAACACGGGCATGAAGGCACCGGAGGGGATGGGCATGGTGGTGGAAACCGCTGACATCCAGAACTGCAACACAAAAAAAGTCCCAAACAGGTCGTCTTTACTCTCGCTGTTTCTTCCTGACACCCGAGGGAGAGTCGGATACCTTCATAACGAAGAAGAGGAGGAGGATGACGAAGACGCTGACATGAGGATGCAGCCATGCGGAAGAGCGACCGAGGCCGGCGGGAGCGGGGGACCCAGAGATTTTGGTCCAGGTGAAATTATCGAAAAGGGAGTTGATGCATTCTCTGGGCATCAGCTGTGAGGGAAAGAGAAAACGGGCTCCACATGAGGATTATAGTCATTAACCTTATCGTGTCTTCTTATTTTTAGTCTGATGGAAACAAACTTCCTTATCATTTTTATTGTTTTTAACCCAAAAATTAACTTTAAGGCAAAAATTCACACATTTATGAAGGTGTTCAGTCCTTTAGCGCGTTTGTTACGCGTCTTTGCCACTGTCGATAAGTTCTAACACACATTTTAAAGTGGACGTATTCACTTCCAGGGAGGCGTCCAGGAGGCATCCTGACCAGATGCCCAAACCACCTCAACTGACTCCTTTCGATCCGGAGGAGCAGCGGTTCTACTCCGAGTCCCTCCCGAATGTCCGAGCTCCTCACCCTATCTCTAAGGCTGAGCCCGGCCACCCTACGGAGGAAACTCATTTCGGCCTCTTGTGTCCGCGATCTCGTTCTTTCGGTCATTACCCAAAGCTCATGACCGTAGGTGAGGATCAGGACGTAGATCGACCGGTAAATCGAGAGCCTGGCTTTCTGGCTCAGCTCCCTCTTCACCACGACAGATCGGCTCAGCGTCCGCATCACTGCAGCCGCCGAATCAATCCGCCTGTCGATCTCCCGATCCCTCCTACCCTCACTCGTGAACAAGACCCCGAGATACTTAAACTCCTCCACTTGAGGTAGGACCTCTTCCCCTACCCGGAGTTGGCAAGCCACCATTTCCTGGTCGAGAACCATGGTCTCAGATTTGGAGGTGCTGATCCTCATCCCACTGTTCATTTAATGCTTATTATGGATTCATCAAAAAGGAAATTTTTATCGAAACCCCTGAGAGGCATCATCCTGCAGGTGATCTGCTGTGTGCCAAGATTTTCTTTGGGAACTACCAATTTCTGGGTGCCAAACCACTTTTCTACTTCTCAATAAATACAGATTTTAAAAAGTAGATCCAATTAAACAGATGGCAATAACTTGTGTGACAGGCTGCAAGTGATGAATGCTTTTAAAAAGAAATATGAACCCAAACGTGTTGTTTTTCTTTAACACCTTACAGCATAGTTTTTAGCTTTCTGGTAAAAATTTCTCCATTTTGCACCCAGAAAACAATCAAAACACCTCATTCATGCCACATTTAGTCAAAAGGCTTTTCTACACAAATGATTGCAGAACTTAAACTGTAAAATTTAACCAGTTAAAGGTGCATTATGTATAATGACATCATGTGGTCAAGTTTAGGTACTGCAGCCCTTTTTCCAAACACACGAGTCTCTCCCATTCCAAGAGTTTCATGGCTGTTGGCAGCTACGGATCAGCTCCGGAAGATTCTAGATGACGACTCAAACACAGTAAGTTGAAAAGTAGATAAACACATTTTGACTGTAATATTGATTTGCTGGTAATTTAAAAAGTAACTTGGGATATTTTTAGAGCTAACTATTTGCTTCCAATTCACCGTTAGCATTGTTAGCTCAACATCTAGCCTTCTTTACCCAATATTAGACTAAAACAAAAAGATACGGTGGCTTCTTAGGAATAAAGGAATTAACTTCTGGGTCACTCCTGTTTACCAGCCTAGGATCTTTACTAAACGCTCAAGTATTTTTTCTGGCCGGTGTTGAATTACAAATGCCTGCACTGCAGCACCGACTTAACGCGGAGCCGTACACCCTGCAGGCTCACAGATCATCAACAGTTACAACATCCCTCTTTAGCTTTTAAATCTGACAGCATCCCAGCTGGCTGAGAATGCAACCTTCCTTCCAACATTAATGAGACGTGTGATTGTTTTGTGATTCTTTCACTGTAAATTTCCGACACATAGTACCTTTAAAGCTTTTCCCCTAAAGAAATGAGAAAAACCACACAATCAGGACTCAAATGACCCCTTTAAAGGAATTCTATAAATAGCTTTGAATTGAAAGTCAGAGAGTGTGAGATTGAGTCTCACCTCTCCGGCCATAAACTGTCCAAAACCAGGAGGAAACGTGAAGGTGGCGATGATCAGTGTCACTGCTCCAGGATAGATCAAACGACTGGAAGCACACACACACACACACACACACGCACGCACGCACACACACACACACACACACACCACACACACACACACACACACACACACACACACTCTCTCATTAGGGGAAACGGTGCATTCTGCAATAAAGAAATACGCATTTGAGTTTGTACCAGGGCTGATTGTACTGGTGCTGCAGCTCACTTCCTTCTAATGGCCGGGCCTAATGTTCCCCGACCGAGTCTCTGTGGATAAGTGAATCTCCCCATTGAGTGAATAACTGGCTGAAAGGTTGTTAAGGCCTTGCTGCTCTCCGGACCAGTGTTGTGAGACTGATGAGTTTGGAGAGAGGAGCTGAGATACATTAAGAGGAATTGGATTCAAATGCACAAATGGTTGCAGTGTCTGGGAACGGTGTCAGCCACTAGAGTCGTAAAATATACAGCAGCAGGGAGAGTGCTGCAGCACCTGTGTGTGTGTGTGTGTGTGTGTGTGTGTGTGTGTGTGTGTGTGTGTGTGTGTGTGTGTGTGTGTGTGTGTGTGTGTGTGTGTTGTAGTCTTACTGTTTGGTTAGAAAGCGAGTGAGAGCCGTCGGCCTCCTCATAAACAGAACCACCTGTCTGTTCAGGTAAACAAAGAACGCTCCCAGGAAGCCACACGAGATCCTAAAACACGACGGAACCTGTTCAAACCTTTTTTACGACTTTGTCAAGAGCAAATCTGCAAGTGACAACTACATAAACACAAGCGAGATGTTCAATTTTATGTTAAACTGCAAGGCAATCCAAGACACTCACGGTACTCACAAATATCCTCACCCTATTATTGCAAATGCAGGCAGCTCCTGGAGGTCAAAGGGGAACTCCATCCTGAAGTTTGTCTTGAATAGAGCTGTGATTGTGACTGGAAGAGGAAAATAAATATAATAAGATGGCAAAAAAATCCCTACAGCTGAGAGTAAAAAGGCGCAGAAGACTAGACATGAACATTTTATTAAAGACTGCATGGGAGGAAGAAAAACTAAATAATAGAGGATAATGTGAAACATTTCTCAGTCATTACTCAGTCTGCTGAAGGCAGAGAATTGTATTTATTGCATTTCTCACTCTTAAAGGGGTGCTATGCTGCTTTCTTCATGTTATTAAATCATTTTCTTGAGTTAGTAAGTGCTAACACGACCCTTTACAGCGTGAATGGGAGTCACTCAGCCCCCACCACCCTCTATGGCCAGAATAGCGCACTTGCAACTTCAGAGTGCCGGTCCGGTCTGTTGGACTTGGAAAACATGGAGCTGACACACCTGGTGTTGTCGGCCTCCAGCACATTTCCTGCATGTTTTAGATCATAAACACAGCTGATTTGTGTGATTTAGTGATGAGCCGCTCCTGTAGACACTAATGAAGGTTGGGGAGACATTTAAGGTGGGAAAAAGACAAACAAAAAGCAAAGAGATACGTTTTGCTTTTGGTTCCACTAAACCGACGCCAGGGGGTGCTAAAAGCAAGCCAAACTGCTTAGTCTCCCTTTAATAGCAGAAACACCTGTAAACCTGCATTTTTCACACAGATCTCATGAATGTGTTTGTTAAATATTCATATAAACTTAACAGTTTCAATCTCTATTATTCTTTGATTTCTACTCAGTTATTATTATTATTATTTTTTGTTATTTGAAGAACAGGCAATCAATCTTAAAGACCAGTTTTAACAGTGGTCTTTAGTAGGAATGAACGCCTTGTAAGGTGAGGGAAAAAAAGCTAGGCGCGCCTATTAGAGGACACGGAAGTCAGCCGGGGGAGAAAGTGGCAGCAGACGACATGATTTGAAGTCTTATTTCCTGATATTTGGATATGGCTCTACCACTGACTCTGTTTGCTCTACAACTTTGATGTTTTATCTTCACAAATAACACAAGCCTGAAGGAGTTCTGCCCTGTGGTAGAGTTGCTAATGCTAACGGTTAGCTTCTACTAGTCGAGACACTCTCTGCTGTTTCCTGGATGCTAAATCAACAAAAGCCTTCCGCGTTGCTGTCTGGAGTTGTCCCATGCACCATGGTGCCCCCAGGTACCATTTAAGGTGCCCACAGGCCTTTTCTCCAAATAGGACAAAATAAAAAATTTTAAAAAGTTATGTTGCAATTTTTTTTATCAGCTCATCTCACCTTACCTTCCTCCGCCTATCCAGGGACCGGGTCGAGGGGGCAGCATCCCAAGTAGGGCCTTCCAGGCAATCTTCTCCCTGGCCAAGTCCACCAGCTTCTTAGCTGGGACATCCAGGCATTCACTGGCCAACCTAGAGGTGTATTTCCTCCAGGTAATCCTGGGTCGACCCGAGGGCCTCCTGCCAGCAGGCCACGCCCAAAACACCTCTCAAGGGAGGAGTCCAGGAGGCATCCTAACCAAATGCCTGAACCACCTCAACTGGCTCATTTCGATGCGGAGGAGCAGCGGCTCCACTCCGAGTCCCTCCCGAATGTCCGAATTCCTTACCCTGTCCCTAAGGCAGAGCCCGGCCCTTTTAAATCACAAATGCATTGATATCGAATTAAAAACAAAAACAAACACTTTAAAATATATCTATTATGCAGTTTTATTTAACACTGATCCATTCTAGTTCAAAGGTCACTATTGTATCAACCTGGTAGCCCTTTGTGTGGCTCTTTACTCATCAAGTGGCTCTTAGTTACACAAAGGTTGTAACCCCTTCATTAGATGATGCCATCAGATAAAATAAATAATCCAGAGAAGTGGACTGTTGCGTGACAGTGTGACGTAGATCTGTCAGGCTTTTCTGAACTGACTGTTTTTCTATTTTCTGTCAGAAGCAAACGCAGGAAATAGGACAAGCGCAGTATTCTGGCCACAGAGGGTTGTAGGGTCTGAATGGCGTTTTATTAACCCTACAAAGGTTTTTTTATGTTTATGTATTCAGCAGACTCTTTTGTCCAAAGCGACTTACAAGTGATAATCGGCATGTCGCCCTTGAGGCTAACAACAACAATAACAACAACAACTTGACATCAATCATGGAGAGGAGGGAACAAAGGAGTGGACAGTAGAGAGGGGGGACGGGTGCAGGGAGGGTGCTAGTTTAGAAGATGCTCTCTGAAGAGCAGGGTCTTCAGGAGTTTCTTGAAAATTGAAAAGGAAGCCGCAGTTCTGGTAGTGCTTGGAAGGTCATTCCACATTTGTGGAACGATGCATGAGAAGAGTCTGGATTGTCCTGAGCGTGGTGTAGGCACTGCTAGCCGACGATTCTGTGATGACCGGAGCGGCCGGGCCGAGACGTAAGCCTTTGCAAGAGGATTCAGGTAGATGGGAGCCGTACCATCTTGGACTTTGTATGCTAGTGTTAGCAATTTGAATTTGATGCGTGCTGCTAGCGGTAGCCAGTGGAGCTCAACGAACAGAGGGGTAACGTGTGCTCTTTTTGGCTGATTGAAGACCAGACGCGCCGCTGCGTTCTGGACCATTTGAAGAGGTCTCACAGTACAGGCTGGAAGACCAGTTAGAAGGGCGTTGCAGTAATTGAGGCGGGAGATTTAGCACATACTGGCTCGAGGAAATTATTTAAAATATTTAAACACTCAAGTAATCACAATGAAAACACCAAGGGATTTAAGTCTCGTTTTGTACATTTTTCTACAGTTCTGCAGTTTTTGTGGTCTCTAAAGAAATTTGTGCTGCTGTTTGTATTTATTATGCATCGCTGATGATTGTAATGGCAAAAAAACATCTGATTTAAATAATCTTTTTAAATGTGCAAGCTATTTTCTTATTTACTATTAAAAATGACCCAAAAAATCACTACAATTATTTTCAGCACATAAATGTAAACTTGTCCTGCGTTGGCATTTTGTCAGGGTGAATTAAATGTTCAGTTGTGAGGATTTTACACCTCAGTGTGCTGCTGCTGAATTACTTTTACACCCTAAGTGATGACTTGAAACATTTCAGGTTTATCCAAAGAAGCAAACACTACTTTAAGTAACTTAGTGTTCACATTCAGTGAGCTTTAATAACATGCAAGCTCAGCTGTCCTTCCGCAACAGCCTGTGTGTGTGTGTGTGTGTGTGTGTGTGTGTGTGTGTGTGTGTGTGTGTGTGTGTGTGTGTGTGTGTGTGTGTGTGTGAGTGTGTGTTGTTGCTCACCAGCATCCTTGTTCCAAACAGAGAGCACCCTGAATATGAAGGCGCTGAATGTGGCAGCAAAGTATCCCCGCCAGTAATTCCTCACAGCAAAGTAGGTGGACGTGACCTCAATACTGAACAGCACCCCTGGAGATGGAGGAAAGGAAGATGGGATTACAGGGAGGAGAAAAATGAGGATGGATGGAGAGAGGGGAAAGAGAAGGAGAGGAAGGTGTGAGAAGGCAGAGTTTGGTTTAAACTAAGAAGCAAAAACCAGGGTGTAATTATACACAACAGGAGGACCACGGGGAGTTAAAACACACTCAAAAATGAATAATTAGACTTTTTTCTCCCACTCACACACACACCGACATCATCAGAACACAAAGCATGGATATAAACACTCAAACTACCTAAATGAACACAAAGATTAACACGTTTTAACATCTAAATCTAAAGCATACCAGCTTTTAAATCATTTGTGACTCACAGCAACTGTCCAGACGCTTCATGCATTTTAGATAAACTGATTCTTATCCGCCATCCATCATCAGAGAGGCATGTAATCAGTCCTGAATTCACTCTGCAGCTTAACAACAAGCTTCAACGTGCAGCCAGAGTCACACAGAACTAGCATCGGATAGAAGGAATGAACACCACAGCAGACCTCGAGGTTCTATTTTTTATCATGGGGGGTGTTTATGTCTGCTTGTGTAAAGTTTTATCTGCATTATGACCAGTTTTAAAGGTGAGTACTCCCATCAGTCCTTTACTGTGCCCTCCCCAGTGAACCGACTCAATTTAATCTCAGAACACTGACATGAATAAGGAATTGTACCTAAACATCCTCCTAGATGAACTCCTACGCACCATGCAGCAGCAGTTCTGTGATGAACAATGACTATTCTTCATCAACATATCAGAGGTAGAGAGTCTGCTCCACCATGGACATCACAGATGACCTCACATGGACCAGCAACACAAACTCGGTGGTGCAGAAGGCACAGAAATCCTCCCTGCTCTGATCTTATCCACCTCGGCACAGTGGAGAGCGTCCAGACTCACTGCATCACAGTGTGGTTTGGAAACTGCGGTGCTCGAGACAAAAAGACCCTGCAATAAGTGGTGGGCAGATCTGAACACGTGCAAAGGGCTTCCGCAATAGTCAAGGACCCCATAACCAAATTAAAAAATTGGTGTTGTGCAACAAACACAGTTGAGGAGAAGCTTTAGAAATGCAGATAGGAGGGTGCTAAGTGAAAGTTGTACAGTACCTCCCAGGGGAGTGCCGAAACAGCATCCCACCCCCACAGCACAGCCGACCGTCAGAATATCTGTGTAACCGTAAGGGTTCTACTGGCACAGAAAACAAAAGAGAGAGAGAGAAGGGAGGTAAAGGGTGAGACAGGGAGAGAGGGAGGGGTGGAAAGAGAAAATGGAGGGGAGAAGTTAGGGGGACAGTAAGGCAGGAGAGGGAGATGGAGAAAGTGGGGATGAAAGATGATGGTGGAGAGGACAAGGGAGAGAAATGTGACAGTGAGGAAGCAAAACAGAATAAAGTGAATAAACAACAATCACAGGAGTTTGATTTAGAAAGAAACAAAGAGGAGGGATGTTTTTCTACGGGAGGATTTAAAGAGCAAGTCACCCCACTACCAGTCCCACAACCCGCACTGCACCCTACGCTCCTCTGTGAAGTGCACTTGATGGAAGTGCATGTAAGGCTTTCAGTGCGTCGTAAACAAGTGTACAAATGACTGCAGCATTGAAAGTCAGCATTGTGTCACTGACTGCGACTTCCTAAATGAGGATGCCCGTCGCTGTTTGTGCACGTCGCTGCTTCAAAAGATATTCTTCTCAAAATTCCTTGCAGCAATTGGTTGTTGGTAATCTGAAGTCTGCACAGATTGGGCGAAGTGCGGTTCAAGGGTGTAAAATGGGTGCGGCCCATGTCCGTACTTGAGAATCAGGACACACTACGCACTCACAGCCCTGGACAGGCCACTCTTGAGTGGCCGAGACTTCATTTCGGTGCAGTGCAGAGCAGCCATGTTAGAAATACCGGCTAAAGTAGATAATACCAGCTTAGCCAATAGCAATGGCTCATTCAAATTCAAATGTAGTGCAGTATTTAAACTCAAGGGGGCGCTACACTAGCAGTTTTTGGGAGATTATTTATTGACACTCATTTATACATTTTATCAGCGGAAACAAGTTGATTTGGGGGTAACTTGCTCTTTAAGAAATTAAAGGATGTGCATGCCATAAAAGAGGAAGCTGGAAAACAAAGCATGGTAAAAGTAAAGTAAAAGTAAAAAATTACTTTAATTCATAACTACTTGGATTAACTGATTCACCACAACAGTTTGAGTTATTGCACATACCTTATTACTTATATGCTTATATTTTTGACTTACTGACAAAGAATGAAGACACAAAAACTACAAAGACAAGAGTTTAAAGGATTTTTTGCTTTTAGACGTTTTGGCTCAGCTCTTTTGGGCACATACCAAAAGATAATGTGCTTATTTTTTATACATATTTTAAATCTAAAACGGTGATAAATCAGAGTGTGTACTCTCAGGTTTTCCTGTTGTTGTTGATGAAAAAGATCACAACTTTACTTAAAGTTTGTTGACATTAATTATACATTAGAACTCAATCTTATCACTTCGTGCATGAAGGTGTTGCAGGTGCAGCGTTTTCACTGATTAATGGCATTCATTCAGTTATCCATGATTCAAAATCAACCTCCTCTGTCTGATTGAAACAGGTAGGTGGGACTTGCCTCCTATAGGGGCAGCAAAGCAGGTAGCCACTCCCACGGAACAGGCACACACCAGCAGGTCCATTTTATGGGTGTCACTCTGGGGTTAGATGGGCAAGCAGGGATGAGTGAGACAAACCAAAGGGGGGGGGGGTGAAAGAGGGAGACAGGGACATGGGAGGCCACTGTTATTTCACATGACAGACACAATGGTCACACTATTTATACAATGAGACACGAACAGAGACGATGTGAGCGGGAGCGATGGAAGCAAACAGCAAAGGAGCGAGGACGGAAGGAGAGCTGGGCAGGAGAAATACGGCCAGGCTGAAGGAAACAAGCCACAGGGTTCCTCGGTTATTAGCAGCTCGGGTCAAACTTGTAACAACAGAACATAACATAGACATAACACCCTATAAAGGACCCGAACTGAGAGTCAATCTGTATGTCCAATAACAGTTTAGCTCTCATTTCAATTAGGGGCAGTAGACACCTAAATCCTCACAAGCAAAGCTGTATTTTTGTGTTAGAGTGCGACTTTACCAACAGATGCCCATTAGGGTCAAAAAGCCTCGAGGAGTGCAAACTTCAGCAAAATAACAAGCTCGTCAGACTCTATTTCATCACTGGCAATGGGTGAAGAGGTGAATGTGTAAAGCCAAAACGTTTACGGATGGTGAAATTTAGTAATTGTTTGTCAAATCAGTAAATGCACTTTGTCCTCAAGGGCTCCCGTAGAAGGAAACATGGTGTCTAATATGGCATCGCTCAGAGACGTAGGCTACGTTCACACTGCAGGCCTTGATGCTCAATTCGGATTTTTTTTGTGTTGCTGTTCACACTCTGACTGAAATGCGACGTCAAACTCTCTCCAGTGTGAACGCGTGATGGCACCAAAGTGATCCGCATGCGCAGAAGACAAGTCACATTCAGTGGAGATGAAACCAGGAGCGGCAGAGTGGTGACGTAATCCTGATCCTGTGGATAAACTGTCAGTGAAAACTTTCACACCTGTTAATTCTTCCATGTTGGGCTGGAAACTGTTTTAAACACTGTAAACTATTGTACTCCTTGTTCCCGCCATCTCCCTGAATTATTGTTCACCGAAAATGTTCCGGTATTAATTAACCCCCCCCCCCCCCCCCCCCCCCCCCCCCGGATTTAATGCCACATGACCGTTCGGACTGCAGTCGCTTTCAAAAACATCAGATATGTGTCAGAATCAGCACTACGTATTCACGTGACACGGATCACATTTGAAAAAATCCGATCTGTGCCGTTCAGACTGTCATAAAAAAATCAGACATGGGTCGCACGCGGGGAAAAAAGATTTGATGGATTTGATGCGCTTTTGCCCGCAGAATGAACGTAGCCTTAGACCTGCTGCCATGTATTTTAGACCAGATTTTTATGTGGTACAAAGTCGTCAACATTTTTCAACAGCTGGGCATCATTTAATAAATTTTCAAATTATTATTTTTTTCCTTAATTATTTTCTTTTTTTTATTTAATAAATTTTCAACAACATTTTGATTTATATTTACAGAGATTAACAATAAAAACTACACATTGTCACTTTAACACATCACTAAAACCTCATTGTGTTTATGAGCTTGCTCAGTTAAGTGTAAGGTAGGTAGGTAGATATAGAAAAAATGCTCACTAGATTCATGCTAAACATTTTTAAGAATTTGCTATTCTTAAAGGGGATCTAGGCAGTGTGTGCTTGCTTTTAGCACCCCCTAGTGGCTGCTTGTAGAATCGAAAGCAAAACTTTTTCACACCTTAAGCTAAGAGCTGAAACATCTCCCAGTCTTCCTTAGTGTCCACAGGAGGGATTCATCACTAAAATAAACAAATCAGCTGTGCTCATGATCTAAACATGCGGGAAACTGTCATGTTCTGCGTCCCCTTGTGCTCTGTGTGTCCCTATGCTTCCCCAGCCCTCTCCAGGTTCTCCTCGTATGTCTCCTTGTGTTCTCCAGCTCCCTCTAGGCTTCCCTCATGTTTCCTCCTAGTCACTCTCGTGTAGTTCCTGTTGGTTTGTATGAAGCTTGGTTCATGCTTGACGCGTTCGCGAGGTTCGCACGGCTCCGCGTGGAAAAGTTGCGTCATTTTAACAACCACGCCCCTCCGCACGACCCAAACTTTCCGCACCGCGCACCTAGGTCATTTTCTAACGCGGAGGGTCGGACGTGGAAACACATGGCGGACCGGCAAGAACTAGTATAGCAGAGGTCCGTAAATACAGACATTTGTATGATTCAGCTCTCAGAGATCACCGTGATCAACATGTTGTTGATAATTCTTGGAGAGAAATAGCTCGCACTGTCGGAAAAGACGAGGACGCTGTTAAAAATGCTGGAATGCCATGTTGTAAACAACAGTAACTTTTACTTCTACTATGGTATAGTGTTGGACGCATGCCGTAGAGCTCCATGCTGCCCCCTACAGTTTGGGAGAATATTGGCTCACCGCAGAGACAAGCCGCATGAATCATAAACGCTGCAAGTTGTGAAGCGCGTTCCATCCACGAGCCGCATCACCAAGCGGAAAGTAAATGCGTCAAGCATAAACCAAGCTTTAGTCCTCCTCACCCCTCTAGTCATTAGTAGTTTTCTTTGCCCTTAGTCTTTAGGTTTAGTTATTTAGTGTTTTATAGGTTATGGTTGATCTCCCCCCCTGCCTAAGATCTTTCCCCATTCAGTTTATTAATGGCACCTGTCTTCCCTCTAGACCTCACTCCTCACACCTGTCACCTGTTCCTCTGATTGCTTCCCTCTGTGTTAAAAGCCCTGCCTTGTCCCTCAGTGTTTGTTGGTCCACTGTCTTTGTCAGCGTTGTTCTGTCCTCTTCTAGAAACTCCAGGTTCTTGCTCATAAATGAGCTTTTGTTTTTGTAAATCAGTTTTTCTAGATTTTAGGCTTGGCTTCCTGCCCTTTGGAAATTTACTCATCATCCTAATAAAAGGACTTTTCATTTATTCAACAGCTCCTGCCTGAGTTGTCTGGGTTTCTGCATTTTGGGTCCAAACCTTCTGCTCTCAACACGACAGAAACACGGTGGAAGCAGATTGCAGCGCCGGGTATGTCAGCTCATGTTTTTCTAAGCCTGAAGTTGCAAGTGGAATACTCTGACCACAGGGGGCGATAGGCGCCGGGTGGCCTTTCATTAACCCTGTAAAGGATCATTTTAGCACACACGGCTCAAGAAAATTATTAAAAAATGTGACAAATTTGCGAGTGAGTGTAGGAGGGATCGGGAGATTGACAGGCGGATTGGTTCGGTGTCTGCAGCGATGCGGACGCTGAGCCGATCTGTCATGGTGAAGAGGGAGCTGAGCCAGAAAGCCAGGCTCTCGATTTACCGGTCGATCTACGTCCCAATCCTCACCTAAGGTCATGAGCTTTGGGTAATGACCGAAAGAACGAGATCGCGGATACAAGTGGCCGAAATGATTTTCCTCCGTAGGGTGGCCGGGCTCAGCCTTAGAGATAGGGTGAGGAGCTCGGACATTTGGGAGGGACTCGGAGTAGAACCGCTGCTCCTCCGGAACGAAAGGAGTCAGTTGAGGTGGTTTGGGCATCTGGTCAGGATGCCTCCTGGATGCCTCCCTGGGGAGGTGTTTCGGGCATGTCCTGTCGGCAGGAGGCCCCCGGGTCGACCCAGGACACGCTGGAGAGGTTACATCTCCAATCTGGTCCGGGAACGCCTTGGGGTCCTGCCGTAGGAGCTGGTGGAGGCGGCCGGGGAGAGGACGGTCTGGAGCTCCCTAATTGGGATGCTGCCCCCGCGACCCGGACCAGGATAAGCAGAGGAAGATGAAGACGAAGTGAAAAATTTGCACAATATCCCTTTAAACAAACCAAGGTCACACACAGTCCTTTAAGTAAGTAAAATACTCAGAACTGACATCTCTTCTTTAATCATCAAACAACACTTATTACTGACTGGAAGTGAGACCGTAGAGTAATGAGAGCCCTATGGACCCAAACAAAGTCAAAGCAAGTACAAAAAAACTGTAACAGAGTGTGATTGGGTCGGGGCTTCGGCTTACCTCATAGACTCCAGAGAAGATGGACATAAATCGGCTCAGCACTGCTGCACAAATACTGGCAATGTGGACAAATGGACCCTGGAGGTGATGAGAGGGCATTAACCACACTGAAGAGCAGCACTACTTTTTTCTGAAATGACGTTTAAACTGGGACACGTATCAGAACAGATAAATCACAGAGGAACTACTAGATGTGACAGCTGCCCTGCTACTGTAATGGATGAAATAAATGCACTCCTTTGTGGAGGACTTGAATAACTCGCCTCAGTCCCACGAGATGAGGGAGTGAGGGGGGGGGGGGGGGGGGGGGGGACACGACAGGAGCTGATTTATTACACACAAGCTTGAATAAAAGTACAGATAGAACGATAAAGAGAAAAATAACCGAAGGATGGAGCAGATCCAGGATAAATGTGGGGTGATGGGACAGAATAGATAGTAAAGAGATGAATAAGTGGGTCATTTAACCTCTTTGCCTACTGGCATCCCACTGCCAAGGGCAGCAGTCAGACCGATGACTTTAGCTACGAAGGCTTTGAGGGTCAAATACTCCTTTAGGACCACACCTCTCAGGATGGTTTTCAACTCTGGTATCCCAGAACCTGTCCACAAAAAAAGAAACAGAAAACTCACAGAAGGCAAAGTATTTTTTAGGAATAAATAAGAGACAAAAAGTGAAGGAAAGCTCACCAATAGCCTGGGGAGAAACCAGGTGACAGAAGAGTGAGGCAAAAACAATAAGGATTATGGGATAAGTCACCCACGCGAGGTATTGGAGAGGCACGTTGTCCTTAAGTTCTCCCTGAATCCATTTGTAGGCTTAAATGTGAGAAAAGCACAAGTTAAAACGATGAAAAACAGCTTTAAGGCAACACTAAAGACTTCTTAACACTTGCAGCTATTGTTTTCTGTTGCTGCATGCTTGCTTAGTATGAGGATTGCTGTAAAGTCATTGACACTAGTCAGTGACTCGATGCAATTGGCTCCTTATATAGGATCCTTATATAGGAAACGTTTTACTGGTTGGCTCAATGAACTGAGATTGAGATGACTCTTTGTGACTTGGCGCTATATAAATAAACTGAACTGAATTGAATTAACCCGCTTCACATGCTGTCACGCCACACCTCCAATATATTCACATCAATGGGCTGAGCACACCACAGAAACATATACGTACGCCCCATGGACTGTCGCTGCCTATTGGAGCTGCCGAAGTGGCCGGCCGCCATATTAGATGGGTCTCCATTCACTCCCAGTGCATTTTTTTCTACAGAGGAAGGTGCTTACCCAACTAAAAACACATTTCATCAAGCTTTTCACAAAATCAGACACATGGCGTGACATTTACATTTATAAACAAAATAAATTAAAATATAAAATTCCATCAGGTATTATAGAAAAGTCAACAGTAATCCCACGTGATCTGTTTTCTATGTACGCCAGTAGCATAGTTATCCACTCTGTATTTATTTTGGAGAATGAGGAGACCTATCCACTATGGTGGTGTCGCTGTTATGCTCTCTAGTGTCCAATGGGGCATCTACGTATTCATGTCTATGGCGCACCACACCCCCACCCCTGTGGACAGCGGTCAGTGGCAAAACGAGTCGGCCACCCCTTCTCGCCTCCTACTCTCACGCATGGAAAAAAAATCAACATTCGGCAGCCCTGCTCAACAGTTTTGTTGCTTTATGGCAACAGATGTTTACAAAGACTGTAGCTAATACAGCAGTTAGCTTTTTCAGGTCACTGACCGTCAATAAAAAGTACAAAAAGAAGATTTCACTTTTTTTGTTGGCATCAGCCTGGATGTAAAAGTAAGAGAGTAATGTTATTGGAAGCAAGGCAAAGAGCTAAAACCAGGGTGAACATCAGCGTAGCCTACACTAAGCTAAAGGAGGCAACGAAATCATGAACTGATAGTGACCTGGCTTTGTTGTAATTGAGCTTGTAAGTAATAATACATTTTTTGTCCAACGCTGTGAATCTTTTTATTTTGTGGCTTATTTAGTATCAGTTGACTTGAGTTAGCGTTAGCTGTCGTTAGCTAGCCTAGCCTAGCCATACAGTAGCCTGCGTCAGGGTTTGATAGTTTACAACAGCTGTAATTTTCCTTTCAATCAGTATGAGGGAGAGGTGAAAAACTTATTTAGTGTTGCTTTCATGTCTGAGTGCTGTACCTTGTAGGCTCTTGGCGCTGGTGTAGTCCATACACCAGCTGACCAGAGCCATAGTCAGCCCCAGGAGAATCAGAAAAATCCAGTCCTCCCCCATCTTTGTGACGATGTACCGCCTCACTCGAGCTAAACAATCTAAGAAAAAGAAATAAAATTATGATAGCTTAAAATGTATTCATGGTTTCATTTTACCCCCAAATATGTCACAAAAGGGTTGAAATAGAAAGAAAAAATAAAACTGATGGGAGTCTTTTTTATTTTTCTGTCAAGCTGTAAAAAACACAAAATATTAAACCAAACCAGAAAAAAGATTTGTGACAAAATTGTTTTTAAATAAAACACAGATGGGTTTATTGGAGTAAATACATTAGAGTGAGATGTCCTAACATGATGCAGTTCTGTACTTCCCACAATGCATTGCATTTTAACAAACCACCTCTTTTTTGATCTTTGGGAGAATTTTCTGCACCTTCTCTTGAGCCAAAAACCCTCTTCATTAATGTGTGTTCTCACTTGCACTGCCTCAGTAAAAGGTCAAAGGTCATGAGGGAATTGAAAGCGTTTTATTGTCCATCCCAGAGGTGACAGAAACATGCATTACAACACAAATCACCCGACTATAATAATTATAAGAGGAAAAAACACTCTCCATGTAGTGTCTGAATGTCATGTAGGTCTAATCTCAAATGAAACTCCTGTCAGTGGAAATTTATTCAGTATAGAAAACATCATGTACCAGAACCCCAAACAGCCCCGGCGGGGGGGGGGGGGGGGGGGGGGGGGGGGGGGTCAAAGGGTCAAACACTGAATTAAGCTGTTGCTACAAACAAAAAGGACATAACAGGAGAGAATAAATTATGTGCTTTTGATACTTAGAGGAGACTTCAGGAGATTGTGAATGGAAGAACATGAGCGATAGACAAGTTCAGTTCTGTGCAAAAGTCTTGAGCGCCCATCGTTTCTTTATATGTGTGCTTTTGATGAATCAGACCAACTTTCACTGTTTAGAGATCGTCTTGATCTGTATTTCTTTTTCTTAACTTTGGCAGCTTATTTTTTTACTCTCTCTGCATTGCCTGAGGATGTTTAGAAGAAGACATTTAAAGAGGGTCTATATTCGTTATTTTAACATATCTGTAGTGGTCTCTCGGTCAGATGAATGCCTTGTGAGTCGTTCTCTGTGGAACAACGCTCTGGCGCTCCTGTTTCTGGATGTAAAAGTTTGCCAGAGGAGAAGAGGGCAGAAAACAGCAGGATTTAGAGTCTCATAGCTCGGTTACATTTCGGGGGTTCAGGACGGGGCGGGGCGGGTCGTTGGCCAGTATGGACCAGTGTGGGTCTGCAATTTCAGGAGAGCGTTTCAATCCCAGTTTGGACTTGGCAGGTGGGGTTAAACATAATTGCGAACATATGCGTCATACTGAGGCTGGGCAATAAACCAAACATTTTTTATTATACAAATTTCTGACTCTGAATTTGATATTAAGAAAATGAAAAGGTGTGTGTAGGTTGGCATGGTTTATGTCCCTTTAAGAAGCTGTACCACCTTGAGTCACATAACGAAAAAATGAATGCAAGTCGACGGAGCTAAAAACGTAATTTTCTAATTCGCCCTGGATCACACATATGTTGTACTGCAATTTAAATGAAAAGTAATGATGGGTGTTTCGACAATGCCAGTCACGTACTTTGAGATTTCTCAGCTTGTAAAAGTTCCTAATTAGCATGACTACAAATTAGAAATCGGCACATCGCATATGTGACGACACCACAGATTCTCCTCTCCACAAAGTACCTGCTACTTACCAAATGGCCAGATTTATGGTGGTTCTTTCCTCCCGTGGGAAGGATTTGAAGTTTGCTGAACTTACAGCCCTTTTCCCTCAGTTTTCTCCGTGTCTGGTTCGATGACGTCACTTTCGTGAAGCGCATTTGTAGTCCTGGACTTATTGTCACACAAAACCTAAAATGGCGTTTCCCCCTGTTCGACAATTAGCACGTTCTTGCTATCAAAATGTGTCTTTAACATTCACAGACATCATTTGTGAAATCCATGGCACATAACAAGCTGAATACGAAATAGCGTTTTTAGCCCCGTTGACTTGCATTCATTTGTTTCGTTCTTCCGGGTACCCGTGGTCCGGAAGTAGATGGGCGTGACTTACGCTCCCTATCAGTGGACCTTGTTTTTCTGATGCTGCCACTCCCCCTCCCTTCCAGGAAGGAAATTCCCCACACTTGGCCATGCTATTCTGTGACTCCGGGCAACGCCCAGTTTCATAGCATTTTTCAAATCTTGACTAGGGGTGGAGTCCCTCTTTAAAGTGACAGTGTGTATTTTCTCTGGGGATAGGGCAGGGGTATTCAATTCCGGGCCTGGAGGTCCAGTATCCAGCATGTTTTAGTGGTTTCTCTGATTCAACACACTTGATTCACCTGTGCAGCAGCTCATCAGGCTCTGCAAAAACCTGTTAATCACCTGCTGATTAAAATCAGGTGTGTTGAAACAGAGTTAAAACTAAAATGTGCTGGATACCGGACCTCCAGGCCCGAAGTTGAATACCCCTGGGATAGGAGGTAGTACATGCCTAAATCATTGCAAGAAAGCGTCCTTTTTGTGTTCAAGTAAGACCTTACCAACAGATGGCCATTAGGGTCAAAAATCCCTGGGAGCTCAACCTCCAGTAAAATAACGAGAACATCAGATTCCCTTTCATCACCGGCAACGAGTGAAGAGGCAAATTTGTAAAACAACAACGTTTATGTATGGTGGATGTTTTGTAACTGTTTGTTACAAATCAGTAAATGCAGTTTGTCCTCAAAGGAAGCATGGCATCCAATATGGCATCGCCCAGAGACTTGGGGTGTTTCTCAATGTCAAGGCGCCTGGCCTCGCAAGGCGATGACTTGCAAGGCCAGGTGCCTTGTTTACGAGGACACTGTCCTTCCTTGGTTAAAGAAAATGGTTAAATGGAACAGACTTGCATCACATGACCGCGGCTTCCACGGTGGTCGCGTAACGTCACGTGACACGGGAGAGAACGTAATATTTTATACGTATTAGTTTCAATATAAATATATAATGAGCCTTTTACTTTTTAAATTGTGTATATATTTGTTAAATTAAATATAAGTGAGTTACTACCCGCTAGCCACCGAAGCTGCAACTACTAAACAACTAACCAACAATAGATTACTTCTTTGGCTGTAAAAAAACATTTTAAATTAGTTGACTTACTTTTAAACTTGAAATTTTCCCCCAAAGTAGCTGCCGGCTTCTGATCCGCTGTCCTTTTAAAAATACCGCGGTGTATTCTGGGTAATTTTACCAAGGCTAGGCTACAAGACACCTCCCGTGCATCCTCACTCAGCTAGCTTAACAGCTAACAAATGGAGAACACGCGCCTCGCTAAAACATGAACATTGGAACACGTCTCGGCGGCTCCTGATGACGTATCTCCTAGGCAACCGGGGCGGGGCCAAGACATCAAGACGAGGTTCCTTGGCAACACCCTTAGACCCGCTCCCATGTTTTTTAGACCTGCTTAATGTTATGAAACCACCTGCATTGTTTAACAGCTGGGCATCTTTTCATTAATTTACAGCAACATTTTGATGTATATTTCCAGAGACTAATGGTAAAAACTACACATTGTCACTTTAAATATCCTTCAGAAAGCCAGAATAATTATCGTTAAAGATCACTTTAAAGAAGACAAACTACAGTTGTACCTGATGTTGTTTTATAACTTAAAACAGGAAATAGTTCCCTCACATCGTACAGAATGAACTAAATCTACCGTTGCTGTACAGTTTGTTTTTATACGACCGGCTACATCAGCACATTCAGGTTGTCATGATCTCTGTGAGCTTAAAATTTCTGCCTTAAGTCCTGGTGGCATCAAAGCTCTGTATCGTGTTTTATGAGATCATCATGTGGCACGTAAAAGCATAATGTGCAAAGAATCCAGAAACTGAAGCTGTATGGTAAATGCTTCTGTCGCTGCAATAAAAACCACGCTTTTGGGGAAGAGTGAAGCAGACTGCATGTTTTTCTAGTGCTGCATCATCATGCTCACCTTGACATTTGGAGTAGGGACGAGGCTTGTTGGTGGAGGAGCTGTGGCTTTGATGTGACTCCAGGATCGCAGGGTTTTGATGATGATGATGCCGCCGGCTGAGGCCTCTGTGGCCTGTGGCCGTGCTGTTCTCTCCTGCTTGTCTCCTCCATTGTCTCTCTGTCAGCAGACGGGCGGCCTCTCTCCGGGCAAAGTTTCCCAGCTGCTCCCTGTACTCACCGTACAGCTTGAAACACAATAAATACACCAGTGACCACTACGGAAACAAAAGGCACGGTGGGAAAAAGGATTCGAGTGAAACAAACCAAAATGAAAAATAGAAGTAAAAGCGGGAAAAAAAAAGCTTTGACAGCTGAGATTTAGTAGAACTAAATCAAGAGTCTTGAGATAACAAGAAAGAGAGGAGAATGTGAGCAGCGAGTGTAAGGGATACACACCAACCTGAATACCTTGACAGACAGAAATAGACAAAACGGGCATAGAGAACGGAAAAACCCCTCCCCGAGCGGAGGAAGAGGCTGGAGAAGAGCCAGAGGAGGTGATCCACATCTTCCTCTTTCCAACTACGCTTTACAATCTCAGAAACCTTCACACACACACACACACACACACACACACACACACACACACACACACACTGCCAAACGCTCAGTCAGAAAACATAACACCACACGATCAGTGTGCATTGCACTCGTTAAAACTATAGAAGCTGTAAAATCTGCAGATCTGGGCTGCAGCTGAGGTGCAACCCAAACCTACGGATCACATGCATCCCACCACACCAGCTCAATCATAAGGAGAGCTGGCTGCCGCACATTTCTGTCTCATGTTCACACAGGAAAGGAGAGCTGACGCATCCAGCCAGGAGGCTCTGCAGGATGCAAGCTCAGCTTCCAGTGCATCAGTTTCCTCTGAGGTCACAAAGTAAAGGTGCAGAGAGGAGCTGCAGCCTCCTGTGCTGTAAATATTTACTCGCCGACAGGGACACGTTAAAGCAACTTTCGCCTGCGTTAAAAAGAAAATCCTCACCCGGGCCGTCCTGCTGCGACTCCCTACAACCACATGACGAAGTGACTAATATAGAAGTTTATAATTAATACATGAATGCGCCACATAGCAGGTGGCCGTGCAGTCGCAGCTGGAAGCTTTCGAAAACCTTTAATGCCTCTAAATCATCTAGGGAGTTATTTTAAACCGTGCTAACCTCTACGAACCACAAACTGTTATTCAAAACAAAGCTGCTTCCCTGACAGGCCGTTTCACTCATCCTCAATCCAGCAGCAAAAATAAATAAATAAATAAATAAATATAACCACACACACACACACACACACACACACACACACACACACACACACACACACACAGTTTTACCTGTTCTAGGCGTATTTTTTTAATATATTTTCTGAATTCTGAACATCGTGACTTCTTTACCAAATCTCTGCAACATGGCGAGACAAGAAAAACACGTCTTGAGCCCTCGTGTGCAGCACCTGCAGAAAACTACTCATTAAAATGCTTGAAACGTTTTCTTAAATCTCAGCGGCATTGATCTACTAGATCGCTTCCCATGAGCACACCGTGTTGTGTGTAAAGTCTTAGCATGCTAAAGCTGTAGCATAAATGCTTCTCAGTGCAGGACAGCGGATTTTAAAAGTTCAGAAAACATGTTTGTTCAACATTTCTCTGAAGAATAAATACAGAACAAAGTAGAAAAAGGAAGGGAGGTTCTGGAGAGGAGGGTCCGTCGGATTGTTGAACTTCGGATTCAGGAGGAGCGATGTGGTTTTGTTCTGGTTTGTGGAACACTGGACCAGCTCTATACCCTTAGAGGGATCCTGGAGAGGGTGATAAACCACGTCCCTCGGGGGGTCCTGTGGAGGTACGGGGTTCCAGGCCCTCTGATACGGGCCGTTAGCTCTCTATGTGCTCCGCATTGCCGGCAGTAAGTCGGGCTCGTTCCTGGTCAGAGTTGGACTCCACCAAGGCTGCCCTTCTGTCACCGATTCTGTTCAGAACTTTTATGGACAGGCGGTGCAGCCAAGGTGTTGAGGGGATACGTTTGGTGGCCTGAGGATCAGGTCTGCTTTTTGCAGATGATGTGGTCCTGTTGGCTTCATCAGAACGTGATCTCCAGCTTTCGCTGGAGCGGTTCGCAGCCGAGTGTGAAGCAGCTGGGATGAGGATCAGCTCCTGTAAACCTGAGACCACGGTCTTGAACTGGAAAAATGTAGAGGTCCTACCCCAAGTGGAGGAGTTTAAGTATCTCGGGGTCTTGGTCACGAGTGAGGGAAAGGGGAAGCGTGAGACCGACAGGCGGATTGGCGCTGCGTCTGCAGTGATGCGGGCGTTGTACCGATCTGTTGTGGTGAAGAGAGAGCTGAGTCAGAAGGCGAAGCTCTCGATTTACCGTTCCCACCCTCACCTATGGTCACGAGCTTCAGGTAGTCACGGAAAGAACGAGATCGCGGATACAAGCGGCTGAAATGAGTTCGCAGAACCCACAACTTTACTCAACCTACAAATAAATAAGGGGAAACTATCAGGCTTTCCAGTAGCATTGGATCAATTGTTTAAAAAAGCCTTTTGAGTTCAGTTAGAATCAAGATTTGGAGCAAAGCAAAGCCAAAATGTGGTCTAGGGGCATTAGTGGCCCACACAGTGAATCTGTGTGGCTCCTGATTACATATAATGTAGTAATAACAATAATAACAGCAGTAATAACGATATATATTCTTCTCTCCAGCAGGTTGCTGAAATGGATCAACACTTTTCAAACATTTTTGCTCAGACTTTTACTAAAATGTCTATTTTAGACCCGTTTGTGCAACACAAATAAATGAACCACCTTAAAATTAATTTAGCATTTTTCAAATTCAACATATTACATTTTGTGGTCCATCGTGATGATTTTGACCCCCATCTGAATAAGTTTGCGCACCCCTGCTTTTGTCCCTGGTCAGTTTACAGGTTTAGGCTCGTTGGTATAAAACAGAAAATAAATTAAACGTTAAAATCTTGCTGCCTCAAAGTTACTGCATCAAAAGTTAACTATTCGTGAGTGCTTTTTAAAATTCCATCTAAAAATACTGTGAATTTATTCACGTTGGTAAAGTTAAAAATAGACAAAATAATCCATCATGCTAAATAAACGTTAGCAGCGAGAGGCTGACAGGAAAAAAGTAAAAGAAGAGTTGATTTAGTTCCTCTCGAGGTGAAAAACAAGAAGAAATTGGAGCCTTTGTCTCTTTACCTGTTCTTCGTCAGCTGTGTTTAGCATGATGGCAGCAGCTCTGACTCTGTTCTGTCTCCACTCAAACGCTGCAGACGACCACTTCCACCAGCCAACATTGATACACATTAACACTAATCCGTCACCATCATCAAACAGGCGCTGGCACCAGACGCCGCCAGAACCAGGGACAACAGGAACCTGGGAACTGCTAACAGAAAGGTGCTGCTGGTTTCACCTCACGTAACCCCCCCACCTCCATCAACAAGGGAAAATATGCTCATGGCAGGTACTGAAGATAATAATCTGATTATTTGACATTTATTTTTATTTACAGTGATATGTTACAGTCGGAGGCTTCTCCTCCTGAAGTTTTCATCTTCTGTTTAATGTTTTGGTATACAAAGTTTCTTTAGCCTCATTTTGTGCAGAGATGGCGCACTAAAGAATATACACAGATATACAAAGTAAGGCACCTGCTCCCAAAGTCAGAACAACTGATGTCAGATATCAGGAAGATTCTGCAAGAAACTCTTCAGATAAACACGATGATACAAGTTAAAGGTGTTTGTCAAACAGAAGGAAAACAGCACGATGATCAGGTCTAGCTTGATCGGAAAAGCGGTAAAACACGACTTTTCTTTTCAAGTTATAATAGTTCTGTGGTTTGTAAAACATGTTTATGTAGTTCTCTGCACTAAATCCCTTTCACATTAAGCACTTTCAGCAGTTTTATTCTTGACAGTTTTAGTACCTTCCACAATGAGGCGTTTCAGGGCTATGTGTTGGCCACGCCCACTCAGACACTGATTGGCTGCTGTGAGGTGAGGAGCTTGATTAACAGGGAGGGGTTTGTAGTAGAGCGGCTGAATCCCCAGCAGCTGCTGTTCTTCATGTGAAAAGAGGTTCTATGCAAACTTGTGATGTCACAAACGTGGACTATTTTTAAACGGCTTGTTTTAGGCACATCACTCCCAAGACCAAAGACTAGCAGAAAACAGAATAGCTGAATTATTTTCAAGTTTGGTGTGTTTATAGAAGCAGCAGAGAACCACATGGCAGCACAAAAGGAAGTAAAAGGTGAGTTTTGCATAATATGCCCCCTTTAAAAATCCATCAAATGTCCATACAGATAGCGAATACAATCAAAACTAAAACGATCAAAATCAAATTATTCAAATGCATTTTAAACTTAGCTTTTTATCATAAATAACCTCAACAAGAAATAAAAGCAAGTAGTGATTTATTGACCATGTAAAGGTGGTGGAGTCTGCTTTTGTTGTTATAAATTAGTGTAATTGGCATATTAAACAAAGTTTGCACACTTTGTCGAGGTCACAAACAAGCTGAGCAGATTAGAAACTAACTATTTTGTACATAAATCCCTAAAATGAAAGCCTAATACATTCATTTGTAAAGATTAGCTATAACCAGCCCTCGAATCAGAAGACAACTTATAGAACACATGAACGTTCACGAGAATCTGTTGCCTGTTGCAACTCAACCTCCCACAGATTTATAGAGAAGCTGCCTAATTTTTCTGATTAAAACAACATTTTTAGTATCCAGAACTACATCAGATCGGTCTCTCGGGTCTTTATTAAAACAAAGTCAGTCCTTATCAGGAACTTTACTTCACACCTAAAGCCAAAAAGGCTCATTTTAACTATTTTTTTCACAAAAAAAAACTTTCAGAAAACTTTTAATAAACTTGTAAGAAATACTTTTCTCATTTAAAAATGCTATTTTTTATGTAATTGATTTTTAAATACCGTAAATCCTCTAATACAGGCCCGGGCCTAGAGGATTTACGGTATGATCATTTCTAGCGTGATTTACAGGACTAAAACAAGAAATAAGACAATCTGCACGTCATAAAAGAAAAGATCTAGCATTTTCTGAGGGAACGCGCATAAATCTTACCTTTACCACCAATAAACATTTATTTTACCTTGGTAAAGATTTTGTGTGATCTGTTGGAGACTCTGGTCTAC